TCTTTCGCGTCTCTTCCAGATATCTTATGAATCCGGCACCTTCCCAGAAAACTGGAAATTTGCTCATGTACAGCCCATCCCAAAAAAAGGATCTAAAACCGACCCTTACAACTACAGGCCTATAGCTCTGCTTTCTGTTATAAGTAAAGTGATGGAGAGGTGCATAAATCGCGAGCTTCTAGACTACCTCGAACGTCACAGCTTGATTAGCGACAGGCAGTACGGTTTCCGGCACCAACGATCCACAGGGGGACCTTCTAGCTTACGTCACGCAACTGTGGAGTAAACTCATCCAGTCTCATGGTGAGGCTCATGACGTTGCTCTTGACATCACGAAAGCGTTCGATCAGCTGTGGCACGCTGCCCTCTTAAGCAAACTTCCATCCTATGGCCTCCCAGAAAAGCTTTGCAGATGGGTGGCTGACTTTATCACTGGCCGCAAGATATCCGTCGTAATTGACGGATTCTCCTCTTCATCCCACAACGTCAACGCGGGTGTTCCCCAGGGATCGGTCTTGGCTCCAACACTGTTTCTCTTACATATCAACGACCTCCTTTCCTGCACGATCAACCCAATCCACAGCTTCGCTGATGACAGCACTCTACATGCAGGAATTCAAAGTGACAAGCCGATCTCTGCCGCTAAGCTGGAAAAAAGAAGACTAGCGACGACTTCTTCTCTGACAAGAGACCTGGAGGCTATCACTGCTTGGGGACGCAACAATCTTGTACAGTTCAATGCTTCCAAAACACAGTACTGTACTTTGACGAACAAAAAGCGTCCTAGCGCTCATACAGTTTCGATGGACGGTCGAGTCCTACCAAAGAGCCATTCATTTCAGGTGGTCGGAGTCCAGATCACCGAGGACCTGATCTGGCACGAACACATCTCTTCAATAGCTGCAGCTGCTGGGAAAATGCTAGGCTATTTGTTTAGGGCTAAGAAGTACTTTTCTCCGCATGACCTTCTCACTCTATACAAGGCCCAGATAAGGCCTAGCCTCGAGTATTGCTCACACATTTGGGGTGCTGCCGCCCCGACTACATTGTCCATGCTCGATGCTGTCCAGAGGAAGGCGGTCCGACTGATCGATGACTCTTCTCTAACAGACAGTCTCGGGACTCTTTCGCACCGGCGGGCCGTCGGCGATCTAGCTCTCTTCTATCGCTACACCAACGGGCTTTGCTCCTCAGAGCTCTCTTCCATGATGCCGCCGCGCGATGTGCCTGCCAGACAGACCCGCCTGACTTCGGCGTCCCATCCTAACCGTGTCAAACTTCGTACCTCTAGAACTGGCCGATACGACCGCTCCTTTGTCCCGAGAGTGTCTAGATTGTGGAACAGTCTACGGGAGGAAGCTTTTCCCAGTTCTACTAACCTTAGACAGTTCAAAAATCGTATTAACAAAATTTCTTTGGGATCATCATAGCAGCCGCGGTGTTCCGGCATTTAGGCTTCTGCCTGCGCGGCTGTTTCGATATAAAAAAAAAAAAATAATCATCCAGATTCAACTAACTTTCTTCACAAAACATATGCAACCAACAATACGTATAGTTGAGCCATTCCTCCATAGATGGAGGCTATCAACCATCCTAGTGAGCAAACGTGGGATGACTGTTTGCACCCTAAAAACTACCTAGTCTGCAGGACTACATTTTATAGGTTTTTATTTGACGTTTTATAGGTTTTTTACCTCGAGTAATGTTAGCTTCTAAGCCCTGAATCGTAGCTGGCTTATCGACGAAGACTTCTGATTTAACATAACCCCAAAGAAAAAAGTTCAAGGGTGTGACGTTCTGTCCAGCCTCATTTTAAGAAAAATAGGGAGCGATGTTTCCATTAGCCCATGAACCACGCCAAACAGTGCATTTTTGCGGCTGTACCGGTAGTTTGAGAGTCTCTTCAGGTTGCTCATCAGCCCAAACATGGCAATTTTGTTGATTCTCATATCCATTCAACCAAAAATGTGCTTCCAGAGCCCATTGAGTGAAATTAAAGCGTACATTCAAGTCTTCAATTCTTGAATGAGTTGGAATAAAACTGGGATGCCAGGATCAGACCAGTCACGAGGAATGTGATGAAAAAACCATCTGAAAAAAAGCTCGTCGCTACGCTGCCTAGCAATAATTACTATGGAGGCAAAGCAATTTTAAGGCTTTCTCAATATTTTTAAGGGTCATACACACAACAAACCAGGCTCCCCTTCAAAAATATGACGTAAAATAAATATGCCCCCAGGTACGAATTGTGTACGCGCGATCATTCAAAGGTGAACTAACTATTCGTCATGGTTTTATTAATATTCCGTTAGTAGATCATTTGAGGTTTTATTTTCCATCGCGATTAGCTTCTTTTATTGTTTCGGTTCACGCCGTTTTAACATTCATTTATGCGAAGCATTAGTCACCGGAAGACGACCATCTAGTAAGACGTTATTCACACTGACCGCAAGAATGTGCAGACAGATTTTGCAGAAAAATAATGCTGAAGAAATACGTAGATTTTGAAAAAAGAATGATGAAAGTTTGATGAAACTAACCAAAATAATATAGGTCCTAAACGTTTTTTCCCTGATGATGGTCAGGATCTCCGAGCTTTGCTCACTATCGAACTCCGTTTTGCCTAATATACTAAGTGACATATAAATCCGAACACCCAGTTTAAATGGTTTTATTTTAATAAAATTTTGTATAAGTACTTAATGAAGCATAATAAGTAAATGATAAAAATTTCAAAATGATTGCACTGCTTTGAAGCCCTTTGACCTTTAATAATGTGTGGATGCACCCTGATGTGCTACGCATTCTCCAACGCGCCTAGGCATGCTTCTGATCAGGTGGTCAATGTCCTCCTGTGGTATCTCATTCCAGGCAACCACCAACTCCTCTCGAAGTGCTTCTAGAGTCTGAGGAGGACGTTGCAAATTGAGCAATCTCCTACCCATCATATCCCACACGTGCTCAATTGGGGATAAGTCGGGAGATCTTGGTGGCCACGGTAACAATGTGACATCATTATGTTGAAAGAAGTCTATTGCGACTCTTGCAACATGTGGTCGGGCATTATCTTGTTGGAAAGTTGGATTTGCCAGGGTGTCAAGATAGGGTAAAAGATGGGGTTCTAGAACTTCGTGGATATAACGCTGCGCGTTCATGTTACCTCTGATGAAGATTAAAGGTGACCTGGAACCATAAGCTATAGCACCCCAAGCCATAACTCCAACAGTGTGATGAACATGTCTTTCAACAAAAAACTGTGGATTCCTCCTTTCACCACGTCGCCTTCTAACCCTGGCACGACCATCGTGCATGCCTAAACAAAATCAAGACTCGTCGCTAAAGACAATACTGTTCCATTCCTGATCCCAGAGTGACCGTTGTCTGCACCACTCAAGGCGATTACGTCGGTGTTCTCGAGTTAAAGGGAGGACCCAGTGTGGCCGGTATGAAAACAAGCCAAAACTTCTCATTCGTCGGTAAACACTTCGCATGCCAATAGGTCTTCCGTGTTCTGCAAACCATTCATTTGCAATGGACCTGGTAGTGGAGAAACGGTCCCTTAAGGCCAATAATCTTAAGCGGCGATCTTCACGGTCTGTTGTTCTACGGCGGCGTCCAGTGCCCCTTGCTCTTTGCGTACGGCCTTCTCGAAGCCATGCCTGACAACACCTAACCACAGTGTCTACACTTCTTTGCATTCTAACTGCAATTGCCCCTATCAAACTCACTAGGTTGACGAAATCGTACAGGTCTCCGTACTCTAGGCATCGTAACCGATTGTAAAGGATGTCAAGAACCAAAATCCGCCAACGTTGATTCTTTACTGCGGCTGAAATATTCATTTTTAGAGCGTTAGTGAATTAAAAAAAAGCAGTATAAAAACCGGAATGCCCAACTGATAAGGCTGAAAATTTTTTCACTTGTTATTTACAGTAAGATAAATACATTCACCAACTTTTATTAAAATAAAACCATTTAAACTGGGTGTTCGGATTTATATGTCACTTAGTATATATGCCAACATATTTGAGTGATTCGACTGCATCAGTTTTTGCATCATTGTCCATAAGCCTAATCGTATTGTCACCTAGATGTTTCCCTAATGACATATATTTTGTTTTAATAGTGTTTATCTTTATTAACATTTAACCAATTCGTGATTTTTTAATATCACCATTTAACAGTTCCAGAGCAGTGACCGAATGTTTTTGTGCCATATATACCTATGAATCGTCCGCAAATATTTGAATTGTGTGTTCTAAAATGACAAAAATATTATTTATATAGTAACCTTACCTCCCAGTGTCACTCCTACTGATATATTATATTTTGAACGCTTGAGATAATATTTCCAATTTTGGTTTTTTTACTCCTATTTACTAAATAATATTGTAAAAGATTGGAATGTTTTCTTATAAGTGCTGCCCTAACTCATTTGGGTAATCAGTTGATCGGGGTTATTCAATCCGTGACTACTTGAATACAAAACAATGATAGGAAGAATATGTACAATATGTGGTTTGAGTAATCGGTCAAAGATGGAGTTTTTCTTTTCAGACACAACCACGCTTGATATAACAAAGCTAATGTGTGGTGAAACATGAGCGAACAAGTGAAAAAAATAAATGAAAAAGTACTCACTGTTCAGATGAATTGAAATTCTAAGTACGGCTCTGTCGTAAAATTTATTGGCGCTGTAGACGTGATCGAGGGATAGGACAGGACCGGCTTCGGTTTGGTTCAGGTTTGGTTGAGATTGCGGAGCCCAATATCTTAAGAGATTGGTGTATATGCTACTAAGAAAATCCTCAAGATCTACACGTCGTGTAAAGGAAACCCCCAACTTTGCGAACACCCTATAGTACAAATAAGAGTATCAGTTTGACCTCGTTTCTCATCCATTATTCGTTCGAAGAATTGAAGTTACTAGATATTTTCGACAATTATTCATGATCTAACATGGTACTTTCTTATACTAACTAAATTGTGTTTCTTTTTAGCGGAGTTGAGAAAAATCGCCCCACTTGAATTCACCGCAGATCATCCTTTCCTGTACTTCGTCATGGACTCCGATTTGCACGTGTCTCTCATGGCTGGAAAAATAGTGAACCCCACAAACTCCAGGATCAGATAATATAAAAGAGACATTGGATGTACATTGTATACTATAGATAAGTTTGTACATATAAATAAAGATATTTTGTACATATTTTTTCGAACAATCCGACCACGACGTCGTTGTTATTGGTTACCATCTGGTATCAAGATTTTGTTGCATATAGTCAAAATCACGAAAGATGACTGTTGCGTCATACCATAAATTGTACTGAAGTAATCAATGGACGTACGTCGATGATAAAATCACGAGACAGAAACGTAATGACAACAAATTTATATTATGATTTTGTGAAGTTAAGTTATTTCACTGATTATTTTTATTTTCATTTTATTTCATGGTTTTAAGTGATACCTTAATAATAATTTGAGTGGGAAGTTTTTGTTTTGAAAAAACAGTAATGAGTAGAATACCTTTTAAGACAGGAACACCAAAGACCAAAGTATTACTCGAAAACAACATAACCTGCTTTAACATAACCTAACTATTCATCTTTCAAATATGATCGATCATGCAACATCAAAACATCGTCTGTCTTTGTGGCATACATGCAAATTAGCAATACAGTTTGTTTAGACAATGAAATTCTGTTTGTCTCTGTCTAACATATCAGAAGCTTCATTAAATATATTCACAAATCGATATCATATGTCTTTACTACAGACTAAAATCATGACGTAATCGTCATCTTTCGTGATTTCGACTATAAAGTCTCAGTCTATGTAGGTGTTGAGTGATAGTTGACAGTATGACCCGCTTATAGTAGAAATCACGAAAGATGACGATTACGTCATCATTTTATTCTGTAGTAAAGACAAACTACAGCGATTTGTGAATATTTTTAATGAAGTTTCGGATTTGTTAGACAGAGACAAATAGAATTGTATTGTCTAAACAAACTGTATTGCTAATTTGCATCTATCCGACAAAGATAGACGATGTTTTCATGTTGCATGATCGATCATATTTGAAAGATGGATAGTTAGGTTATGTTAAGGCAGGTTAGGTTGTCTTCGAATAATACTTTGGTCTTTGGTGTTCCTGTCTTAAGGTATTCTACTCATAACTTTTTTTTTCACAACAAAAACTCCCTACTAAAATTATCATTAAGGTATCACTCAAAACCATCAAATAAAATGAAAATAATCAGTGAATTAACCTATTTTCGCAAAATCATAATATAAATTTGTTCCCATTATGTTCCTGACATCGTGATTTTATCATCGACGTACGTCCATTGATTACTTCAGTACAATTTATGCTATGACGTAATAGTCAACTTTCGTGATTTTGAGTATATCTAGTTGAGCACGATGACATGATTTGACAATTGTCTTTGACATGTCGCATACGCGTCACATATGTCAGAAATAAAATCGGTCAGTGATGAGTCAGGTTCTGGTATTTTCCTAAAATTCAGACGTATTATTTATCTTGGAAATGGTACTCGGATGGTTTTATGATGCTATAGCGCGCATTTTCGGGGACGACAGTAAGGAGGAAGAATTAGGAGATCCACTCGATTTTGATTCTGGTCCATTCCTCGACTGTGGCATTTCTTGGGTTTACGTAAGTGCAAATTAACTTAACATACATGTAGTTTACTGAAATTTAAAACTACGCAGTATTGAGCACCTCTTACTTGTTTTTTAACAGCAAAGTGGGTAATACTCAGCTTCCTAATAGCTTTCGCTCAGTTCCTTCAGTTGTAAAAGTATTAAGTACTCCAGGTAGTTCTGGACTTTGCAATTTTTTGAACCACGTTCCACTTTCCACGACCTTCCCTAATGATTTTTCAGATAGGTGGTTCTCAGGGCATTAAGAGGTGGTAGATTGCACAAGAGAATATAAAATACCCTATACACTCATCTTTATCTCACCCTCACGTACAGATATAAGTACACTGCCATTCCAAAGTTTCTGGACATACGAGGGTTGTTTCAAAAATAAGGTTCCCAGTGCTGTAACTTTGCCGCGGTGATGCTAGGCGAAATCTGGCAACAGCGTCGTGTTTGTCGGCTACCCACCTAGGATCCCAATAAGAAGCGCCTATTGGCGACGCTCGGTACAGACAGACAGAACCGTTACCACCCATAGAAATGTATCGCCAGTTGAGTGAAGGATATGTGAACTGATTCAACATGTCCTCAAATGGTTAAGAGAGTTCTTTGACGGCCGCATGAACATCCTCGATGGACAACGAAGCGGGAGGCCGTCGATCTCCGAGGAAGTTATGGCGAAGATTGAGCAAACCTTGCTCAAAGATCGGCGATTCACGATCCGGGAACAGGCGATTGAAATGTGGGAATCCTATTTTTGAGAAAACCCTTGCACGTTCAGGGCAACGATCAGAACCTCTCCTTCAGGTTGTATGTTATAAAAATTATAACAAGCCACAGCTTAGTTCACGATTTCAATGCGACCGAATTTCTTTAAGTCGAACTTTATTGATAAGTCATAAAACAATGACCAGCTACGAGGCTTGCTCAATAAGTACCCGTGTTTGACGACAGAGGGCGTTCCAGAGGGAACTATGGGGACTATGTTGGAAATTTTTTCATTTAAAAAACTGGTGGCTTCATTTCTAACACGGGTACTTATTGAACCGCCCCCGTATTACACACTGAAACAACTTGAAAAAGACGCAAAAGCAGAGAGCTCGTGTCGATAATGCCAAAAAATATCCCAAGTAAGTGATAAGAAGATTTTTTCACCAAAAAGATATCACCTATTTTCTAAAAGCGTCATTATTTGGGGTACATGTCACCCTAAGGGTCCCGCTCCATTCCTTTCTCAGTTCTTAGGCCCGTATCGTCAGTCGTCCCTACAATTGTAGGGCGCGTTTATGGCCTCCTTGATTGTCATACTCTTTTCTCTCCTTCAAAAATTTCTAGATTACACTCGTCCCGTGTCAGCGTCAGCGCTCTCCTATTGTTAAGATATGTTTTCCTTTTAAATTGTAGGAAATTTCAGGCTGATAAAACATGATATAACTCAAATTGATGCAAATAGATGTTTGTGACATAACCTCAAAATAGAGCGTTGACACGGAGAAGTATAAAACTATGACAATCAAGGAGGCCATAAACGCGCCCTACAATTGTAGGGACGACTGACGATACGGGCCTTAGTTATAAGTTATTCGAAAACCTTTGAAAGGTAGTAAAATGAGTTAAAACTGTTAGTAAATGCTGATTACATTTCGTTATATTTTTAGACCTTCAAAAAGTTGCTTCTACCGCGAGAGTTTCGCCCTAACAAGAAAATTTGTCCATCAAGATGCCGGATGGATTGTGGGAAAAGTAAGCGTGTCAAAGACGAATTCACATGTAAAACTTGACACTGTGGAAATAATCGTACTTATGTGAAACGTATACTTCTGTAGACTGTCTACGATAAAATAAACTTTATACGAAATTTGTTTTTTTATACCGAAGCACCCGCGCAGGCAGACGCCTAAATCGCAGGTCACCGCAACTGCTATGATGATCCCGAAGAAGTTTTGTTGATTCGATTTTTGAGCTACTTAAGGTTAGAAGAACTGGGAAAAGCTTCCTCTTGTAGATTGTGATAGCCAGTCTCACCTTCATCATGTAGCAAGTGGAGTTCCTCAAGGCTCTGTCTTGGGGCCAGTGCTGTTCCTTCTGTATACAAGTGACCTGCCCGCATTGATTTCCTCCACATGTTCAGCTTATGCCGACGACACCAAGATTTACAATACTGTCGTAAATTCTGCTATGCTTCAACGAGATCTTGATATTGTTTGTCAATGGTCAGTCAGTTGGCTTTTACCCTTAAATCTAAGTGTTGTGTCCTTCACCTCGGGAAGACAAATCCGCGATTTACATACAAGATCTCTGACCACAACATCGAAGCAGTTTCCAGCCACACTGATCTGGGCGTTGTAGTCAACGATCGTCTTTCCTGGTCAGAGCATATTCACCACGTTACATCAAAAGCCAAGAAACTTCTATACATGCTGGAGAGGTCTTTCAAAGGATCCGACGTCAACACTTGCGCCTACATTTACAAGGCATTCGTGAGGCCAATTCTTGAATTCGCTGGCCCGGTATGGGACCCTGTGCTTCTGCGCGATAGAAACCTCGTCGAATCAGTACAGCGTCGGGCTACTCGTATCTCTTTTGGAGCACGAAGACCAAGCTATGAAGATCGCCTTGAATTATTCAACCTGACCTCATTCTCTGAGCGAAGACTTCGTGGCGATCTTATAGTTACGTTCAGGATACTTCATGGTTTGATGGGCACCAACCTCATGCATCTATACCGTCTGTCGCGCAGCAATCTACGCGGACACAGCTTCAAACTGCATAAGGAGCCATTTAAAACAACAGTCCGACAGTGGTTTCTTCCCAACCGCATATTCAACACCTGGAATAGTTTACCTGAAAGTGTGATTGGTGATACTTCAGTTAATAGCTTCAAAGTGCAGTATGATAGCTGGAGGAGTGTACAAACTTTATAGCTATGAACTGTCAATTATCATAATAATAATAATAATAATAATCTCGATACCCTCGGGACAAAGAAGCGGTCGTATTGGTCAGTTCTGGATCAACGAAGTTCGACACGGCTAGGATGGAAGGCCGAAGCATCTATTTCTCCAATTAAAAAAATATTAAAAAAAAGTAGCTTTGTGGATTCGAACCTCGATCCTGCGGAAGTGCAATCGTTAATCCTTCACATTACGTTACGACACCTCTTTGTTTACTGGATCTTTATACTTGACACCAGTGATGGGCGTTTACGCGTATACATTAATTGTCTACGTCTCGATGCGTATACAATGAATACGATGTATACATTGAGTATACAATAAAGTGAGGTTAGGCTTACTCGCAAACGTCAGAAAGTGGCTAAACAGTGAACCGACAACTTGGAAAAAATATGGTTGGACGCTCCAAGAACAAAGAAAGCGATGAACTAGGGTTCATTTGTTGTTCTTAAGTTATTGAAAACTGTATCTTTGTATACGTGTATAAATAAATATTATATATTTTTTCATTATTTATAAATCAATAATGCCATGTTGCAGAATTTGTCTCTCTCTCTCTCACACACACACATGGAAATCTAAAAGGGAAAGGGACTTCCGCCACCACTATATGTAAGTAGTTGAACTATTATTTTGCTATTGTATACATTATATACATTGTATACGTGAATATCGAGACGTATATATTCACCATTGTATACGCGTATACCATGGTGTATTATAACATGGTGTATACAATGCGCCCATCACTGCTTGACACTAACAAATGTCAAGCGAACTCTAAATAATGTATAATAATAATTTTTCAGACGCTCAGGTCGCTACAATTGGTTGATATTTGTCTACTGTTTTCCGTTTTCTCGAGTTTATTTTCGAAGATTCTGAACTCGCAGTCGTTTTAATCGTACGATATTTCTAAAACAGAGTTTTAGAAAAAACGCCCAGGGAATTACATTTCTTCGTAAAGAAACTGGATTACGTGACCTACTCATTTAACAAAGTCGTGCAGTCATCAATAATGCAGCCATTAAGCGCATGTTACATATTAACTAGTCTAAGACAGTTTGAAATAAAAAATATTTTTTTATAAACTTTAAGGCTCATCTGTGACCGTGTAAAAATGTCAGCTCTAAATATGGGTATGAAGAAATCTCGAAAAAAAATATTTCTTCGCAAAGGTGGTAGTCACATCCGCCTTGTTTTCAAATATGTATAATAACGAAATATTTGAAATTGTTTAGAAGAAAAATGAAACACTAAGTTTTTCGCAAACTCTTGTGTTTTGTGATAAAATGCCCTTTGAACGAACCGTGTATATTGCTCAATAAGCTAGTAGTGATGGCCGGAAGACAGGTGTTTTAGGATAAGCAATTTTCAAAAACTACGTGACTAATCCATTCCAATTTTGTTGTGGTTATTCAGTAGTAAGAAGCCTTCGGATTTGAAGAATTTCAAGCTGAAATGATCGTCCCATCAGCAACAAGTGCCAAAACCTGCATTTTGCATCGTTTTTTTTAATATTAGTGAGTCTTTCCACGTATTATCTCACTCTCTAGGTCTCATAAATACCTAAAAATCTTATTTGAAGTGTTCCTTGTCAACACTTTCGATTGAATCCCAAAAAAAAACGCGTTTTCTTATTCTTTGTTGTCGAATAAAAAGTTTTCTCACAAAAATTGGTTTACCCATTTTATGCGTCCACGTTTTAAATGCTCGCTTGGACAACTTGCATCAATAAAACCAGACTTTACAATTATATACAAAAAAATGCTAATATGATTAGACTATAATTGCAAACTGTAACTAGATCATATCGAACACAACGAGAATGACGCTGAACTATCAATGATCAAGTGATCGAGGGGGGCCCAGCCAAAATTATTTCAGTATACCTACAAAACCGATCAAAATTATTTTTTGGAGTTACAAAATAATTCGAGTAGTCAAAGCATTAATGCTTAAGCTATTTCAAATGATTTACTTCTTTTCTTTGCTCTATTTCTTCCTTTCTTTCCTTCTTTCCCTTTTCCCCTAAACCATGTTTGGTATCTAGGTAGCCAGACCTGACAGACTAACAGACCGAACAGACTTTTAACTAAGAGTAAAGCATCCCACAAACCGGCGCGAAATATTCGCTTTGGCTGCGAAAATTTCGCGGCGATGAATTCCCGATCAGATTAAAACGCGGCGGTTTACGGACAAGCTCAGACTTGTGCGAAGCGAATGCGATTGTTCCAGCGTTGTTATCGCGGCGTATTTCAGTTCGCCTTTGACCGCGTTTTTGACGCCGTTCTTCAAAAATTCGCAATGGCAAAAACGGAATTATTGATAGAAATAGTGAAAAAGTATCCTTGTTTGTATGATTTGTCGAACGATGAATATAGGAATGTGAGAAAGAAAGACAAGATTTGGTTGGAAATAGGAAAAGAATTAAATACAAATGGTATGTACCTAATATTTTTTATTAACTTGTTAAATAATTTACAGTCTACACAAATGTGAAAACGAACATTCTATATATTGGGCATAGGCATATCAGAATTAAAATAATTTACGAATTTGTCACGAGTAGAAAATGCTAGCCTTGCTGCCCGCCGAGGATCATTTGCTATATCAGTAAAAGCTCCAAGTACGGGTTCTGGGGGATCTAAGAATTGAAAATATTTGTCATCGCCACTTTTACTTCGTAAAAAATTGTGTAAAACACGTACAATTAGAATAGTAGTATCTACTTTAGTTTCTAATGGCCTGTAAAATATTCGCCATTTTTGAGACAAAATACCAAACGCATTTTCCACGACCCTTCTAGCTCGACAAAGTCTTACATTGTATTTCTCTTTTCTGACGTCTGTTAAAGTCTGCTTATAAGGAAATGGTCTCATAAGGTATGGTTTTAAAGCAAATGCTTCATCACCAATTAAGACGTACGAACAGATTTCATTTTGCCCAGGGAGAAATCTAGGTGCAGGGACACTCATTAAATTTTGTTCAAATCGTTTTCCCATGTTTGAGGTTTCGAAAATACCGCCATCACTATTTTTTCCGAAACCACCAATATCAACACATATAAATTTATAGTCCGGGCCAACAATGGCCATAAGTACTATTGAATATTTATGTAAATAGCACCAGTAATTGGAGCCACTGTTGTTAGGTCTCTTGATTGTTACATGTTTACCGTCCACGCTGCCAATACAATTGGGAAATCCCCATCTATTTTCAAATTCTTCAGCACATTTTTTCCATATATTCTCTGTTGGTTCTGGTAAATATATATGTTCCATATGTCTGCATATCGCTTCACAGACTTCGGTTACGATTGCACTCACTGTTGTAAAGCCAACTCGAAAGCTATGCCCAATGGTATAGAAGGTGTCACCAGTGGCAAGGAATTTATAAAAAAAATCGTTTTTGGTGATGAAGTAAAAAAAAGGTGGAAGAATATCAGAGACACATTTGCAAAATATATAAAATCTATCAAACCAAAGACCGGCCAAGCAGTGGGCAACATAAAGAAATGGCAGTGGGCTGACTACATGGAATTTTTCCGTCCTTTTTTGGCATTTGCCAAAACGTCGTCTAATGTGAAACATATTGACGTCATACATTATGAGACTGCCGGATTTAACTCAAATATATATCAGGAAAGGGCTGGAAATGTAGAAACCGAAAATTTGGAAGACCGCGGCCATGGAGAAGATGAAAATGCTGATGTAGATGCAGAAGATGCACAGAACGCCTCGGCAATACAGACAGTACCACCTTCTTCATTGAACACTACAGCAGTGACTACTCCAGGGCACACCTTTCCGCAGACTGCAACTACACCAAAATATAAAACGAGCAGAAAACGCTATGAACCACCATCTTCGTCTGTACAACAGCTCATTAATTATTTTGAAGGTAAAAAACCTAAAAAAGAGAACGAGGCCAATGATTCACTTTTCTTGGCACATGCACAGACTGTGAAAACACTTCCCTTAAAGCGTCAAGCCCGAATAAAACTAAAAATAGCCGAATTAATAGCGTACGAAGAATTTGAACATATTGAAGAAATGTCTTCAGCGTCTACCGAGAATTCTGCAAGTATGTATGATAGTAGTATGTCGTCCTTCCCAAGCGGCACTGGGTTTACTCCAATAATATACCCAACAGAGGAGGCAAATTCTGCCTCGAATTATTTAGCAACATTTAATCCTAGTGGCAACATGTAGTCCAATTATTAAAATAAAATATTTATTTCACGATCCCTGAAGTTTTAGTATTCGATAAGCCTACTAATTTTAATACATATAATTTTTTTACCTGAGTGTAATAGCAAGTCGTTCTTCTGGCGAAATAGCTTCACGATAATTTGTGTCAGATTTTCGTATTTCATCTTTCACCAAGTTCAATATTTCATCGAAACACTCTGGAGTCATTCTAAAATATACGTAAAAGCGCTGTTCATCCAGCCGAAGTTGTGGCATCAAGGTATGGTATTCCCCAAATTTATTTCGTTCCAAGTTAATATCATGTACCCACTTCCTTCGTTTCCTAAACAAAATTGAAAATATTTGTTTTATGTACTTCGTTAAACTTAATACATACCCAACTATCAAATGGCGTTAAATAAACATAACTTACCGTGCATTTTGTTCCTCTTCTAAAGCAAGAAATAGAAGTGCCTCCTCTTCTTCTGAAGACGAGCTCATTGCAAAAGGCAAAAATAAAATGTACGCAACCTGTCGAAACTTTCACGTTCGCGGAGCGAATAAGACGCTTTGGTATGAATAAACAGGCGAAACAGATTGCGAATTTCGCTCTGAATTTCGTTGCGAATACTTCGCCGCGATTATTTCGCGCCGGTTTGTGGGATGCTTAAAGGTCCACCGGACCGCTCTAACGAATAATGACGAATAGTATAGTGATCGAGGTAAGCTTCTGCCATCTCAAACCATGTCTTAAAACGTCAAAATTTTTGAGGTGTCTACCGTTATTTTCTCGAAAGCATGCTATCTCGAGCACTGTGGCAGGTAAGATTCTTATTTTACGTGTATGGCTCGCTATATTGGATATTTGAATTCAAAACCCTTCTAACTGCGCGTGCCCAAAAATTGTCAAATATCAAAACAAAAGTGACAGCTCGATCATATGGTTTGTGTTGTGCCGGTTATGTAATTTGATTCTAAAATCCTACAGAAATAAAAATGTTTTCTAGTAAAGTAAGTAACGCTCGCGTGGATTTTAATCATCGAGAGATTACATTGCTTTGTCTTGCAGCTGGTAAAGAGATGTTTAATACCAGCGGCAGCTGTCGTGGCTGAAGCAAAAGCACATTCAGAACCAGAGTACCCAAGAGTTTGCAGACCCAGCGAGTTGCCTATTTATATACCCGAACCTGTATGTAATGTTAAACACAAGGTTGTAGAAGCACCTGGGATACTAGAGTCTACCATAAGAGATACACGAGAAACTATCACCAAGTACTCGGACGAAGTTAAAGCCTACCAAAGAGTTACACAGGAGCATATTTCTAAGAGCAAGGAAAATATTCAGTGTAAGGAAAATATAATTAAATATAAGCATCACTGCCCGGCCATTGTAATTGGTGTTATTATCGCTGAGCTTTGTATACCAATAACTATAGTAATCTAATCTTGAAAAGCTATTCCTGATGTATCATATTCCAATTCCCCAAAATGAGACAATCTTGTACTACCAAAAATATGTTTTAGCACCAGTATTCTTTAATATAAAAGTATACAGTAAGCATACTTATAGTATTCAAGTGATTGGTGTCTTGAGGTAGATTGTGAAATTTCAGTGTATAAACTTCCCTTTCAATATATGAATTTAGAGGTGGTAATAGTCATTGGCAATGCTCTTCTAACCTTTCCTGACAACAGCTCAGGTTGTACACTTTTGGTTACAAAAATAAAAACAAAAATTACAAAAACAACCACAAAATCAGCTGGCTGAGAATTCCAATTTACAATTTGTTGATCTTCCAGTACAAAACATTCCAATACATCCTGATGCTAACTTCAACCCATGTCACACTGCTAAGGCCTGAACACTTAAAATAAAATTCATAGATTGGTTGGAAAACTTCACGTGCTAGGTTAATCATGTTCTATTGTCAAGATGGTATCAAGTATCTGTCTAGATTGTAGCATGCGCAATCTAGCAAAAATCACATGTTTGTAGCCTAAAATAGAAAGTCACAGTAAAGTTCCAAACAACAGCGACTCTAATTTTACTAGAAATGGTTGGATATTTCCCTGAACAGATTGACAAAGGTGGAGTATGCATATTCATAGACAAGGTTGGATTATGAGCTTGTGTTTGTGTTGTCTCTTATCCTGTAGAGGAAAATATGCAAATAACATGTAGGACATACGTATTGAACTTTCTAAATGGTCCATATTCGTACTGCCTGGCTATATTTTTACACATGGTTCACATTTCCTACCTATTTAAATATACAGTGGACCTCCGGTAATAAGACAAACATTATGCAGGGCAGTGTCAGACTATCGAATTTCTCGGATTATAGAGCACACGGTATGTCCGGAATTTTTTACAAAAGAGTACCTTGTAATCCGACAAATTACATATCCAATGGTAAGATTATATATGTTATGTATATGTATGTACTTTGGAGTACAAATCATACATAGTTTATGTATGTCAAATTTAGTAAATTAAATAACAATAGAGAGATACGTTTTATTATAAAATTAAGCATAAATGCACGTACATATGTACCAAAATAAACAAGAATTATTAATCAAAATCATTAATGGATTTATCAAATTATGAAGCTTGGAAATATTCATCAATTTTTTTTTTGTTTAAGGTTGTTATAACGCGAGATCAGAGCTTTGTCTCTCAGTCTTCTCAAAAGTAAAGTTCATTGTAGGATGTACCATTCTCTTCAGCCCATTGTAAACCTAGCTCAAAGGCGTTAATTGCGTCTTGTGCTGTGACTTGTGGAGCAGTTGGAATCACGTCGTCGTTATTTTCCTGATTGTTTGTTGTATAATTCGAAACCTCTTTTATAATCTCTTCGTCAGACATTTCATGAAAAACGTTTTCCTCTTTATCCATTCCACGGCACCAGATTTCCAAATCTTCCGACTTATCTGTGTTCCAGTCACGACTTGTTCTATAACTTCCGAAGTAACACTGATTTGTGGAACGTTGCTAGGAGTGGTGACTATATCTGGCCATAACTTTTTCCAAGACGATTCAATAGTTGATGACGGTAACGCATTCCACGACTGACAAAGAGCAAAAACCAAGTCTTTCATATTAAATTCTTTCAAAGTTCTTTCTATTGGTTGGTCTTTTGATACGGCTCTCAGAAGTAGGTTTTTCTTATAGTCTTGCTTGACAAACTGAGTGATATTCTGGTCCATTGGTTGAATCAGTGCAGTGCAATTTGGCGGAAGAAACATCGCAGTGATGCATTTATCCTCAGTTGTTAGTTGTTCTTCAGACGGATGAGCGGGAGCGTTATCAAGAAGCAACAACGCTTTTTGAGGAAAATTATGATCTTTTAAACATTTTCTAACTTCAGGTACGAAGCATTCATCAAACCACTTTATGAAAAGGTCTTTTGTCATCCATGCACTTTGTCCGTAATAGTGTACAGGTAAATCAATATTTTTGAATGCCCGTGGTTTATTAGATTTCCCAATGACCATCATCTTAAGCGCGTGTGTGCCCGCAGCGTTAGCACATGGTAGTATGGTTACACGCTCTTTACTTACTTTTCGTCCAGGTACGGATTTTTCGTTACAAGAAACGAAAGTTTTGTATGGCATCACACGCCAAAAAAGACCTGATTCGTCTGCATTGTACACCTGTGACGGGTCAAGATTTAAATCGTTCACCTTTTGCAAAAATCTTAATTCAAAGCGCTCTATGCAGGTGGCATCTTTAGAAAGTTTCACTCCTGTAATAGTCACTAAACGTATTGATCGACCAGCCAAAGATTGCTAGGGACGAAAGGGGGAAATGCGATGAAAAAACCTTACCATTAGACGATTTTATATGGAGTCATAGGCGGAGATCGGAGAGACTTGAATTATTAATTGAATTTATATTTTATTACAACTGGTAGTATTAATATTTTTTTGCGATTCATAATGACGTGATACCAAACATACATTATAAGAAATAAATATACACAAACACTGAATATTGAGAACAAAATAAATATATTTTTTAGGCAACAAGTAATATTCCTATGTACGCATTATGATTGAACAGCAAAACAAATTATGCATTCTTCTAAAATAGAATACAACAAGTCAAAAATATCTGACTGAATAGAAAAATATAGGAAAACAAAAAGTAATTTCTTGATGAAATAACCCATAAACAACACATAGAATTAGACTTTCTACTGAGATACTAAAAGCCACAAACCAATAGTATAATAAATGAATATCTAAAAATTCTAAAAGGTAGCCAATCTAGTATAGTTTCAATCCTGATTAGAGTCATGATCACTGTCTGAGGAACTGTCATTGCTATCACTTTCACCTCCTATGTTGATTATTATTTCTTCCTGTATTTCTTGAATGAGACTGTCTTTTTCCCAATATTCATCTTCAATTTTTATAACATGTCCAATAACCTTTTGCCAGTCACTGGCACTTACTGAAGCGATGGCCTTATTAGAAATTTCATCTAGTTTTTTTATAGTAAATTCGCCGCTTGTATTATGGCTTCTAATGAAAAATTTTACTTGTGCCCAAATCATCTCTATGGGATTAAACTGACACATATAGGGTGGCGTTCGAAGTGGGGTGTGTCCGAAACTTCTTATTAAATTATCTATCTTATAATTTTTCTCATCAGATGGTGGCCTATGTAGACAAGCTATTTCATAAAGCTCCATTTTTTTAGCATTAGGATCATGCTCTATACCTTTTTTGCTCAACCACGTGATGATGTCTCTTTTTAGAGAAGATCTAGTTGGAGGCTTGTCTTCCAAAGCTGAATGGTAAGGTGCATTATCCATTATTATAATACTATTAGGAGGAATGTTAGGAAATAGTTTTTCAGTAAGCCACTTCGTGAAATTTTCTTGGTTCATTTGACCGTGATAATCACCAGTGGCACAGCCAGCCTTGAAAATGAGACAGGCTCCAGGAACAAAACCATCTTGCGAACCCGCATGAACAATTATAAGTCGTCCTGGAAATGAATAAATAGCCTCATTTTAGTGTTATTTTAAGTTTGCCAACACCTTTTTGAATCACTATGTATAAAAAACATATTTTTGAGAAAAAAATACTTGCAAGGGATTATGTATTCAATTAGACAAATTAAATGAGCACTTATTAAGAATATTCCAAAATTGAGAAAAATGTATAATAAGCAAAATCGAGGTGAAAGAAACTTTATTACCTGTAGAACTTATATTGCTCAGGACACCCATAATTTCTTCGCTTTGCCAGCATTTCTTGAAAGTGAGGTCATTATCAACCCAAGTTTCGTCCAAATAAATAATATGCCTTCCTTCTTCCCGGAACTTTTTAATAGACCTAAGATACTTGTATCGCCAATGTAAAATACTGGGTCTTTCCATTAGTAATTTCCTTTTGTTGTGGCATTTACGCCAGTAAAATCCTTTTGCTTTTAAAAGCAGCCTCAACGATTCTTTACCAAATGGAAATTCCATTTCTTCCTTCAGTTTGATTAGAAGTTTACTACAAGTAGGTACCACTTTAAAATCACAGTAAAATTTTTCTATCATTCTCCGAATAATGGAAAAATCGACTCCATCAATTTTTTGGATCACAGAAGGGCGTGATCTCTTTTTTCCGGGAGAAGCTAAAGGCTGTGTGGAGGTTGCATTTTGCCTGTCTTTATCTTCTTTTCTAATTTTACTTATAGTTCGTTCACTAACACCCGTATAATATGCCGCCCTTGCATTTCTAGCTACCAGTGGATAAACGAAAGTATTGTTAGCCGCTTCTGCATCGCAAGCACGTATCACGTTTGCTATTATTTCCCTTGCCTGGCTGTGAATAACTTTCCCATGCTTGAATTCCATTATCACCACTAAACAGTAAATTATATTTTCAAAGTATTTGCCAACTGCCTACGCCTATGGGAGTAGGTTTATAAATGACCGTGCCATCGGCACGTTATTCTAGTTTCAGATAAGATAAGAGTTTTGGACCAATCAGCGACCGGATGTTTACCTGCGGCCTGGGTTTTCCAGCTACATTGCCAAATTCAGCGGAACAATTCTATATCTTAAATATGTTAATATGTATGGACCGCATTTTATGTAGAACATCTGACAACTTCGCAATTTTTTGTCCGCATTCTTTCGGCTTGCAATCTTTCGCTGGTCCAACATTATGCCATGACGACTTTTAAAACGTTCTAGCCATCCTTTGCTGGCCAAAAAGTCATCTTTTTTGTTATTTCCTTATAAAAAAACTTAGCTTTCATGGCCAACATGGGTCCTGAAATTGGTGCATGCCTATTTCTCTCCTGAAGAAACCACATGTACAAAGCTTCTTCCACTTCTGGATGTTCAGCTTTCTTGAGTGTCTGTCTATTGCCTGGCCCGCAGTCAGTAGTTGACACGAACTTCTTGATCTTCTCGTGGTTTCTTTTAATGTCATAAATTGTAGATCGGCCTACGCCGTATTCCCTTGCTAAACTACTGAAAGTTTCATTGCGATTTAAGCGGTCTAAACTATCACATTTTCCTTTAATTGTCAATGTTTTGTGCTTTCGCTTCTGAGTTTGTGATGACATTACTAGGTACTATACTTAATACACAATGAATAAATAGTAAACAATGAACGCACGCTAGGCCGTACCGCTAGGACCAGTAGTCAAATTCAAACTAAGTAAAACAATGCTTACGCGTCGAGCACGATAGCGGTGGCGCGTACAAGTTGTAACCTGTTCAAACCTGCGTGATCTACATTAGCGAAGATTGTCAAATACGTATGTATGTAATACATATTCAAAGACATGTCGGATTACAGGGGGCGCCGGATTAGACAGAGGCCGGATTATTGGGGGTCCACTGTATACGCACTATTAAAAGCCTGATATAACTGATCGACCCAAAGACTCGTACTGAAAATCATGCAATAACACCAAAAGTTTCTCAAATTTTGATAAACGATAAGAGTAGTAAACAAGAAACGCTAAGATTTTACACAGCAGTGGTCCACTGTATACATGACTTGAGAGCAACATGTTAGCAGTATTCTCAGAGAACTATCCAAGAAAAGCTGTGTTTCTGGTGATAGGTTGCTAACCAGATATTATGGATACTTCCACTCAATATTGTCATATGCACTCTTGAACTGGGGGTCACTCTGTGGATATGCCTAAAGTATTTGTACTACTAAATCTATAATACTATCAGAGTCACTGCAGATCTGAGTTATATGCAGCCAAGTACCAAGTTCCACCTCTGTATATATTTATCTGCTTATGTATACAACAATTTGGATCTATATAAAACACACAGTGACGTACTTATTATTTTTTTTTTGAAAACATGAAAATAATTATAACATCGCACATACAAATCCTGTAAACAGGGTGTCACACACAGGTACCGAGAATACTAAATACAAAAAGGATCCCAATTGCGCTGGAAAGTTACATGTAACATGCATAAGTTAGATATTCCTAAACATCATCTGCAAAGAACTACAAACGGTTCTAACTACTATGGAATCCACTTTTATAATGTTCCATCTGAGGCGTACAATTTCGTCGGTCATGTTTGCCTGATTTTGTAGCTCTTCCAAACAGAAATTTTGACAAGGTATATCTTTACACATTATAATACATTTTCTAGGGCTGGTTGACTATCTGCATGAAGAAGATAACACTCTGCCAAGAGCAGGTGCTGTGGGCATTGGCGCATTGGCTGGTCTGATATTTGGCTTAAGAGGGGGGATCATCAAGAGAACGCTGTATGCTACGGCAGGTGCTACTGGAGTTGCAGCTATTTGTTATCCTAGCGAGGCCTCAGAGTACTCAAAAGTAGGAACCACAGAGGCCAAGAAATATCTGACTGTAGCGTACAATTTTGTTTATGGAGGTGGGTGACATTGTTGTTATCAGACCATTACGATTGTGACAATTTCAAAACGGTCTAAAAAATGTCCAGAATGACATTCAGGGTATCCCAGTACAGAGTGGTGATGCATATTGAATACAAAAAAATTATGCGACATGTTTTTAAACAATATTCTACAGAACTTTGCATAGATACAGGATAGATCCCTCAGTGGATTCCACCAAATTTGGACAGCTTAGTATCTCCTTGGGGGCTCTCATGGTATCCATGGAAAATAACTCAATGGCAGCTATGCCCAGTTTCGTTCCCGTTAGGCGGAGCTGGTGCTGCTGGAGGACAAATCGTGAAAAGTACATTTGAAAAAGACAGAATTGGTAGAAAGGTCCCTATTTTTCACGATACTGCATGGGCAGCATCCAGCAACAGTTTTTCACAAAGCAAACATTAATAATTTTATGATTATTATTTGTATTAATATTATATTTGAATAGCTTATAAATCAGAGTGTAGTATTGAATTTTATACACATACAGACCAATATAGACAATCATCCAGATGCGATCTTGCTATTCAACTGATTTCCTTTCTTTCACATCTTGTCAGAGATACATACTCTACAGACTATCTCGGCATTCTGCAACCAACAAAGCCCGCTGGCGTGTCGTTGAGTGATGCCTCAATAGATGGCGCTCACAACGAGCAATAGCAGAATTAACTATTTTTACACTAACAGGTATACTTTATCTGAAGTCACTTGAAACACTGTGAAATACCGGGTGCGTTTTATATATCTATATTTAACACGCCCTGTTGCTGCAAAAATCGCCAAATTTCGCAGCAAATATTCCCCGTATAAGATCAAAGGCAGTTTCACCGGTCCACGTGGAGTAAAGCACGCCTATGCGTGGACATAGCCAATGAGAAAGCGTGTATTTCAGAGCTCCGAACAAGTGCAGGTGGCTACTGAAAATTGAAACAGTTTAGCCAGTGCCGTGTAGCGGTGAATAAACGTGTTTTCTTTAGTCTGTCCGTGTTTTTCATAGATTTTATTAGTTTGTGTGTTTTTGACTTTTGAATACTCAGTTTACTTGTTGTGTTGATTGTTCTTGTGTGTCCTAAATATGGCTCTTTGGAGACCTTGGGAAAATGCTCCAAGCCACGAGGAGATGGTTGATGAACCTGTGCAGGCAGAATTCTTTCATAAAGATTTAGAGGAACAGACCCAAAGAGTAATCCTAAATATGTATGATTGTCTGAAAAACGAAAATCCAGATTCCTCGCAAAATCAAATTTTAAACAAAATTTGTATCCTGACAAAAATCAGTCGGTCTACCATTTATCGGGTTATAAAAAGGGGAGATGTAGTCAACCATTCCTTCCACAGAAAGCGCATAGGGCAAGAATTAAAAAGAATAGACGTGGGTTTTCAGGAAGATATTCGTCGTATAATATACGTATTTTATAAAGAAAATTTGGTGCCCACGTTGGAAATGATACGGGATAAATTAAAAGATTATCCTGAAGATTTTTATAAAATTACAAATGCTTAGACTCACTGCACTGTATTGTAAAACTGTGTGGTTTTCAATACAAAAAATTAGATAAAAGAATGGTGATTATGGAGTCGTTTCGAATCGTTGAATTGCGCCAAGAATTTTTGCACAAAGTTAAAATCTATAGAGAGCAGAAAAGAAATCTGATTTACCTGGATGAAACGTGGTATGATACCCATGATGTTGTGCAGTACGGCTGGGTTGACGACAGCAGCAAGTGCATTTTAAATGCACCATGCAACCGTGGAAAACGAATCATTATTCTCCATGCTGGCAGTGAAAATGGATTTATACCTAATGCCTTGCTGTTATCTGCCAAAAATATCAAAGAATCATGTGCCGACTATCATGAGGACATGACCTTCGACTTATTTGAAAAGTGGATAGAGCAGCAGTTAATACCAAATTCAGTGATTATTATGGACAATGCGCCATACCATTCCCGACAGAAAAACAAAATTCCGAATACAGGCACAAAAAAACAAGACATTATTGATTTTATGAAGGATAAGGGAATAGAAATACCACCAAAATCAACCAAAGCCATATTATTGGATCTTATTAAAAGACAAAAATTTGAAAAAGAGTATGTTGTTGACAATCTGCTTCAGCAAAATGGCCATGAAGTATTACGTCTACCTCCCTATTACTGCATGTTTAACCCGATTGAGTTGGTCTGGGCTGCTTTAAAAAAAAAGTAAGAAAACAATCAGACCCCTCAATTAAGTGAATCGCTATTGGCCACAATAAGAGATGCAGTATCTCATATTGCTGCCACAGACCTATGGAAGCAGTGTTCTAGGCATATTATTGAAAAATAAAATGAATATTGTGTTTTGCCTCCTGTAAATCCCGTTGTAATTCCTCTACAAGATGACTCTAGCGACAGCTCCGAAGGCAAGGATGATATATAAATACCTATAATGTAAGTCTTTATATACCTTTTTATATACCTACCTGCTATGTAAATATTTGCCTATGTCAAACGTTGGAATTCTGTAATTTTTCCATTTCTTAACTTTCAGTCAACATAAATTAAACTCCCAATATAAGTATTTTTTATCCCAAATCAAAAAAATAAGAAGATAGTAAAATCCATTTATTGTGATATAAAAACATTATTATTATCGTTCTAAATAAATGACCGCACGCCTATGATACGTCATGAAATTACAAAGGACGCGCCGACCAAAGGTTTTTATGCTATTTCAAGTGACTTCAGATAAAGTATACATATCTAGTCAGAAAGTTGACATTTTTTCGTTTTTTCTACATTATAAATAATCGTAATAACCCTGCCGATTACCCCTATTGGGGTTACTATGCTGCCATAATTCCACTGAATTACAGTGGGGTTCAAAATATATTTCGGAAAATCTGATTTCCAGTAGAGTCCTTTGGAGGCACTGTGTCTCTGTGGAGAGCATCCTAGGTCATTTGTTATCGAAACTTGTGACATAATTTTTTTGTCTTCCCCATGCATTCGAGAGATTGCCATGTGTAATTCCCTGAAATAATTGTTCTGAGGGCATCATATGTTTTTGGAATGATCAACCATTTTAACTTATCTTTTCTAAAATCGCTTAATTTTTCAAAATATATTTACAGTGAAAAAGGACGACCCGCCACTCGAGCTACCCAGCCTTCCTAAACTACCATCGAGTTTAACTGAAGTCTGGACCTCGGTTAAATCCACGTTTGTTTCAGATGCTCCCGAAACAAAAGCACCACAGGAACAGGTAATTGCATCCTCTGAGCCTGATCCCGAACCTTCCGATTCCCAAATCCAAGATCCTCTCAAAATCATCGCAAAGGCCCACGAAGAGTCTGTAGAAAAGCAATGCCATTGTCCCATAGGTGCATGTCTAGGACGTGAGGAGGTTGCCCAAAACCCGGAAAACCGAACAGAAAATGTGGCACATCTTCCAGATGCTTTGGATGCGCTTCAATTTGGCATGGCCCAAGATTGAATTCGAAATTTTCAAGTGATACGTATGCTCTCGAAAACTTTATTTTTATACAAGGTCGCACCCCCATTTGTGACTCTCCTGGTATATTTTGGAGAGAACGCTCGCAGATCTGTAACATAACCTCAAAATAGCGCGCTGACACGGAACAGTAGAAAACTATGAAAATCAAGGAGGCCATAAAGGCGTCTTACAATTTTGTATTTGATTTTCATAGTCGTTCCTATCCGTCAGCGCTCTATTTTGAGGTTAGATTTTCTTTTTGACTTTAAGTAATTTCAGGCTGGTAAAACTTGATTTTTATCATCCTAAAATTTCGCAAGATTCAAAAAGAAAACATAACCTCACAATAGGAGAGCGCTCACGCTGACACAGAACAGTAGAAACCTAGAAATACCCCAGCTTTTCTGAATGAGAAAAAAAGACTATGAAAATCAAGAATTCCATAAAGGCGTCCTACAGTAATTGACGATACGGCCTTAGTCATAGATTGCATTTAATTTCAAGATACGTGAACCCTTGTTGTCAAAGTTATCGTTTTGTGTATATAAAACGACTACTATCAATTTGTTTCTATGGAGAGCAATGCATTCTTCCAAATTCTGACTACTAAGTTTACTCTTGCTACCCATATTATGTTTGAAAACGTACTTACTCGCTATTCATTTCTTTTTAGGTTCCAAAATCAAAGTGAATATCCGCTTCGACGCTGAAGACATTTAATGTCTAGTTTGAAACAAAGTATTTCCCAAATAAATCTTTACTCCAGATGAATGTTTTTTATTTAAAACAAATAGCTGTACTATCACAGCAGCCGTAAGACACTCAAAAATAACTATTAAAAAATTAAAATGTACAGTTATAAATGTTATAACTCAATTTTAGTATTCGTAATACTTTTCTCGAAACATTGAGAAGCTATACAATGGCACATAGGAAAATATTCAACTTGTTTTCATTTGAGACAAAAAATATGTCATCATATAGCTGGAACACGTATGTTTATATAATTATTAACATCACAATCAGTTTATCACTTAAATTAATAAGCAAGAAACAATTCAAATGTTCTATTAGCAAAAAACAATGAGTAATATAATTATGGTAAATAAGTTACTTCACTCTGCAGCAAATCATGTTATCTAAAGTAGTTTGTTTTTTTGAAGCGACCGTTCTTCTAGTGTTTCTGGTGTAGATACTTTTGTCAAACTGCTCTTGTAATTTCATAGCATATTCCAAGTCTGCCTTTTCCTGAAGAAGTTTATTTTGTAAATCTGGCTGAATTTCATTTGAGGTTCCATTGATTTTTGGAAGTTTTGAATCGCCCAGGACAGTTTTATCATTCTTTTTCTTTTCTGTGCAATCTGAAACTCTCTCGAATCCATAGAATGGGGGGCTTGAACTATCATCACTGTAAAACTCTCCAAAAAGCTGCTTTTTAGATTTTCTGCTGTTATTCAATACTGGAGATTTTCTGTAGTGATCATTAGGAATCATCTTTTTATTTGGAGTCAAATATTCATCGCTGTGCAACCTCTTTGACTTGGAACTGTTTTGCTGTTTCGATTTTTCGCCAGCTGTAATGCAAAAGGTAGGAGAAATCCTTATAAATGCAGATTCCTGGAGATTTGATTGGAAGTTCACAGTCCCACTGGGTGATCTGAAAATTAAAATTATGGATGCTCAAGTGAAAGTTTGATTCAGAAGTCTATTCTATATCCTCGGCAGCTAAAGTGATAAGCTACAATCACTGGCATATCTGGAAAAGGGTTCTGAGGGGGCTCAAGGGCTATAGTCTAATCATATTACCAAATTTTCCAAAAACAGTTGTAAAGTCTGGTTTTATTGATGCAAGTTTTATTTATTTATTTGCTTTTAAAACATAGACACATTAAATGGGTACACCAATTTTTGTGCGATACTTTTTTTTCAACAACAAAGAATAAGAACACGTGTTTTTTGGGAGTCAATCGAAAGTGTTGGCAATAACGAGAAAACTCTTCAAATAAGATTCTTAGGTATTTATGAGACCTAGAGAATGAGACCATACGTAAAAAGATCCCACTAATAGTAAAAAAAACGAGGCAAAAATGCAGGATTTGGCACTTGTTGCTAATGGGATGATAATTTCAGCTTGATATTCTTTAAATCCTAAGGCTTCTTACTTCTAAATAACCACAACAAAATTAGAATGGATTGGTAGGTTTTGAAAATTTTTCTAAGTAAGATTTTTAGATATTTATGAGACCAACAGAACCAAACCCCACATAAAAAGATCCCACTAATAGTTATGGCCGGAAACCAAGGCAAAATGCATGCTCTTGTTGCCAATACGACGATAATTTCACACAGCTACTTGAAATTCTTTAAATCCAAAGGCTAAATAATCACAACAAAATTGGAGTCGATTGGTCAAGCAGTTTTTGCGAATTTCTGATTGTTTAATTCAAACATTTTGTATTTGCATAATATCAATAAACAATTGAAAAGTAGCATTTTCGAATACTTACAATATTTTCACATCTGCTTTTTCATAAATTTTCTTAGGAGTTATCTTGATAGGAGGCTTTCTTTGTGAAGGAAATCTATGATCTATAGGTTTAAAGTATCTCATTTCTGATTCGAAACAGTCACTGCTATCACTAACATCCATATCCACGATCTTCTGAATCTGCTGTATTTTCTTTTTAATGATAGGAGAGAAAACTTTCTTATGAGCTTCGCTTTTTTTATCATCTAGACACAAAATCCTGCATGTATACTCCTTTGTGTAAAAGTTGTTTATGGGCTTTTTCTTTGCATGTTGATCTTGGGAAGTGATCGTTTCATTGTCTTTCACAAGAAATCTATCTAATGAACCTTGCTTCTTATTTGTGTTTTCTTTGAATTTCTCAAGAGCAATCTCTTCAGCTAATTTTTTTGCTATTATCTCGTCCATCCTGAGCTTTTCTTCCATCACAGCCTTTTCATAATCGTCCTCTTCCTTAAGCTTCTGTATCAGATCCTCACTAGCTCTAGCCTCAGCTTCTTTTAGCTTTCTTATCTCTTCCTCTTCCTGATGCTTCTGGTCCTCGTATTCCTTTCTTATTTCACCAGGACGAGCCACAACAATCATTTTTTCTGAAACCAAACTATGGTTGTTAAGAGCCCAAATGTTTTATCATCAATTCTTGTTAAATCCAAAATATGAGATGTGTCCCAAAAGCATTTGGAAAAGATGCACCAGCCAAATATTTTTGCTGTATTTAATATAGTACCATACGAGTGCAACCATTAAGGCCTCAATATATGCCTTACATTCTTCCCAAACTGCTGGGACACTGACATACATTTAGGATTTGAAATATACAAAGGATACCCAAAGGCATATTTTCCTAAGGCCACAGCTCAGTACAAACCCCAAATTCTGGGTGGCAAATCAAAATCAACCAGTCACACCTCCCCCCTGCTCGGACTACATCTGCCCTTTGCCTCAATCAAAAGTTTTTGCTTGTTTCTTCATGTTACAAACCTTCAGACGCCAAATCTTAAAATATGCCCTTGGGGGTACCTATAAACGACATCTCACCTTCTTCCACAACATCATCAATTCCACAAAGCTTGTTTGCAACTTGCTGTGGAAATTTAGCTTTGATAGCTTTCCATAGGTCCTCATCAAGCAATTTACAAGCTTTTCCAGTCTTCCTATACCAGGAAGTCATCCGTATTCTACATAAAGGGCATATTAAATTGGTATTGTTTACAATTCCTCGGAAGCAACTGAAGCAAAAAGCATGGCTGCAGGGCAAAGTAACTGGTTCGATTAAAATGTTCCTGCAAACAGGACACAGTACATCGCTTAGTACAAGGGTGCTGAAGTCTTTAGATTTTGCTGTTTGATTTTTCTTCTGCGCTCCTCTCTTAGATGCCATGTTATTATTTTATCTATTTACATTTACAGCACTTGGATTACTTTTTACGTTCTTCTTTGTGACAATGACAAATGTCAAGTGGTGACAGACATTTCTGACGTGTTGGAAGTATCTGTCATTTTTGTGTTCATCTTCAGGGGTGCGTTTGTCACTTGGTAATGTAATACCGTACACAGTCGATGCAATGTAGATTGACAGATGATGTTTTTCTCTGGAATACTGTGAAACTTTCGAACGCGTAAATTATTACATAACAGAGTCATGTAATGACACTTGATAGCAGACTAATGGCATTATTTAGACACTACATGATGTTGTTTTTAAAAAAGTGCTACACTGTATCTAATAGCAGCTTTTTCTACGACTTCAACGATGTATCACGTTACATTTGTTTTTTAGTTATAAAGAAACGTGTTTTTTTACTTTTTCATTATATTTACGTAGACGTTGCAAACAAATGCTTGATTTAAGATTGTGTGATTACTGAGTTTAACCTAGTCTGATCCTTATCTTGGCCACCCTGTAATGCATTGTTATAAAAAAAAATACAGAAACGTTCACTAATCTAACGTTCTTGTAAGAATTCTTATGTACTTACATTCATTTCTGGAAAATCTCAAATCTATGAGCGAGGCCTCGAACAAAAGGTCCTAGGAATTGGTGATGGTGATAGCAGAGTTAGCAAAATCGTCCGATGAGCTGGCAATGCCGCAATACAGGTGACAAGACATATGTCTATCCCGCGGTAACGACGGAGTCATTTAGAACGTCAATACGGCAGTTTTCCAATCTACATTTGTATTTTGTGCAACGATTTCGAGAAAAATTCAGCTACGGATAGTGTATATTTCAATAGGTGTCTTGCGTGGCCATATTATCTTTACTCGGGCCTCGAATTAAAAATACCGATCGTTTTTTGTGCAATGTATACAGGGTGTCCGCAAAGTTGGGGTTTTCCTTTACACGACGTGTAGATCTTGAAAACATAAGCAATTTTTCTTAGTACCATATACACCAATGTCATAAGGGAACCGAGATAAAGGGCTCTGCAACATCAAAAATATCTGAATACCGTCCTGTAGCCGCGACATCACCGACTGGTACAAGGTCACTGTCTCAACCCGACGACAGAACTGGGTCGGGGTCAGTGTGTCAGGTCAGTATGCAATCTTCAACCGACGGTTACGGTCACGCGAGTAGAGGTAATCGCGTAGACGAGAATCCCTCAACAAGCACTAGAGAAGTGCAAGTATCAAAAACTAAAGTGTGGCAAACGCTGCGTGAAGAGGGGCTGTATCCGTTTCACGTCCAACGTGTACAAGCCCTTCAACCTGACGATTTTCCAGCAAGAGTGCGGTTTTGTGAGTGGTTGTTGCATCAACATGACAATAATCCGGACTTTTTGAAGTGCATATTGGTGACAGACGAATCTACGTTCACGCGTAATGGGGTGAATAACTTTCGCAACACTCATGTTTGGTCAGTAGAAAATCCGCACGCTGTTCGTCGGGCACATTTTCAACAAACATTTTCGGTGAATGTTTGGGCTGGCATCGTGAACGGTATGCTCATTGGACCATTTATTCTCCCAAATTGATTGGACGGGATGCAATACCTAGACTTCCTACGCAACATTTTGCCTTCCTTTTTTGCCTGCGTCTGCTCGGTAGCGCATCAGCTGATTTCATTTTCTGTTGGAGCGGTATGATTTCGGGCAGCGACGTACTTAGCTCTTCTCGTCAACTGGAGAGTGAGTACTTTTTCCTTTATTTTTTTTACTTGGTCGCCCTCGTTTCACTACACATTACCTTTGTTATTTCAAGGGTAGTTGTTTCTGAAAAGGAAAACCCTAACTTTGCGGACACCTTGTATATTTATCTATAAAAACGACGCATTTGATATGACAAATGCGGTTCCTATGTCTTCGATGACCTTCTCCCTCGGCATTTAAAATCAGGTGGGCGTGTTTCTCCATTTATGATTTAACTCATTTTTCGGCACTGGGAAGACAAATTTTCAATTGACATGCCTGTTTTTAAATGATACTGACATAAGACCCGCTAGTACCTCACACAAGTTAGTCAGTTTTACCAGTACCACGTGATTTTTGGACATTTGGATGACGTCACATCGTTCTTCGCGAACATTTGAGTATCGGTTCCCGGACTCGCGAAAAAATGCCTGAAGGTAAAAAAACAACAGTGTGAACAACACTTGCGATATGTTATGTTTCCGATTGCGATGAGGCAAATGTGTTGAATGTTTTATCTGATTTTATCTATGAATTTATATGAGATGCAGTCAGTAGAACCCTACTGGTAATATAACGAATCTTATTTAGTGGAGTGTAGCAGGAGTTCGAGTCAAGAAACCAAATCGATAAACTGCAATGGATATTCTGCACAAAGTAGATTTCAATCTGGGTCCTGTAAGCATCGATGTGATAGAGGAGAATTTATATTTAGGAGGCCTAGCAGCTGCCAAGAACATTGATGTGCTGAACAAATTTAAAATCAACCACATTATCACCATCGATACTTGCCCATTGCCCCGAACAATCACCAATCTCAAAGACATAAAAACTATGTATATTCAGCTGAGCGATCTCCCTAAAGAAGATTTGCTGTCGCATTTTGATGAAACAGACGAGTTTATAAAAGAAGGCATGGCAAATGGAGCTGTTTTGGTCCACTGCTATTTTGGAGTATCTAGAAGTGCTACAGTAGTTATTGCCCATATTATGAAGAAGTATCAATTGTCATATGCTGAAGCTTTTGAAAAAGTTAAAGCTAAAAGAAGTATTGTATATCCTAATGAAGGATTTATAACACAATTAAAGTTATACAAGGAAATGGGATACACAGTTGATACAACTAGTATGCATTTTAAAATCTACAGGTACTTATTCAACGTTTAGTATGATGCTGCAAGTGATTATTGAATAGAACCTTTAAATCATAGAGGCATTGTTTTAAAGTATAATATTTTTCATTTAGTTTTGTTTGCAAAATATTATTTCTAGGCTAACTTTAGCAGCTGATAGAGTGAGGAAGGTAAAAATCCTCCCTCAGGAATTTTCCAATCTTATCGCACCAGATCCAGGCTTAGAGCAAATACAACCGGAACCAAAAGTTTATAAATGTAAAAAATGTAGAAGGGTTGTAGCATCTGAATCAAACCTCATTATGCATCAAGATAAAGGTGAACCTTGTAGACAAACTTACTTTGTGGAACCAATGGCCTGGATGAATATTACTGGTAAGCACTTTTTTTATCATTGTAAATACAGAGTGAGCCATAAGTTGTTTCAGTTGAAGTTGTACTTGCATGATTTTTAGGTAATATGATATAGGCAGATTTGTGATATAGGTTTTAATGTTTTTGGGTTCAAGAGAAAGTCCGTCCAAGACAGATTTAATACATTGCAAATTATCAGATCATAACTAATAAGGTACCTGTACCAAATAAGGTCACGTTAACATTTGTATGTATTTAACATGAACATTTATTTCCAGCTGGTACGATGCAAGGGAAGCTACATTGCCCCAAATGTAATAGTAAACTGGGTTCATTCAGTTGGATAATGGGCTCTCAGTGTACCTGTGGCGTAAAAGTTGCACCTGCTTTCTACCTAACACCTTCCAAGGTCGACTTTAGTAATGTGGTGAAAAATATTGAAGCAACTTTTTAGATGTTTGAAACTTAGATGTTTTCTTCCAGTATTTCTTCCCACTCTTAAGAATCCCCTTACTAGATTTATATTTTATTTATATGTATATATTTTTCTTTAAATAAAAAATGTATTTTGATTATTAGTGGTGCCACTTGTTGTTATTACCCCCACTGACTTGAGCTTAACACATTGTTTATTGAAATTAACTTTAGGTAACATTTTTCAATTCAAACACTTCTTGTTTAAAATTCGTATATGAACCAATGATTATCAACTTGTTAAGGCCTATTCAGGAATCGGACTTGGGCATAGCAGAAATACATTTTTCTTTATCAACAAGTCACAATACTAAAACTCATCTATACTGGACTGATATTCTTTGAAAAGAGTGCAGTAGAAGGTATGTTCATGCACTGCACATGAGATGCATAAATATATTATAGCAAACATGGGCGTAGCCAGGGAGTTCTCCAGGGTGGGGCAAGAAAACAAGGAAACTCAACATAAAAAATTTATTAAAAAAACATGTTGGGTTTATATATAAGTATTTTATTTTAGCATTAGTTTTCTACAATTCTTGCTAAACCTGGACAAAATTTCTTTTTCAAACTCATCCTTCGCGTTTAAAACTCTTTTTCGATGGACGCTCATCATGCAAAGTCCAACAAGCCGATTTTCCAACATTGTTGATCGTAACCAAGTTTTTACCCGACGTAAGGTGCTGAATGATCTTTCTATTGTGCAGGTAGTGCAAGGCTGCGCGAGTGAAATTTGGAGGGCTTTTTTAATGCCTGGGTAAAAAGATTGCGCCTCTTTAACTAGTTCAACTAGTTCAATCTCTTTTAACTCCGAGTCTGACTTCTTTTTTTCTTTCCACAGATTATACCATAGTTCCATTTCAGCCAAAATCTCGTTTAAGTTGTAGTAGTCACAAAAGACTTTAACTTTTTTTAAAAACTCAGCAAATGATAAAGAAAGAAATATACTAGGGTGTAATGAAAGCAACTCGTAGGCTGGCAGATTTTCATTAGAGAATCGCTGTCCTAAAGACATTATCAATGAATCCAGATACGGAATTATAAAAGATCTCGTCCAGTACTCAGTACCAGAAGCTGCTGGAGGATTTGCACGAAGCGTTTGTCGGTTTGTAACTCTCGGCATTTTAAAGTCCGTATTAATGTCTTCGGCTTCTTTTAGTATGTATACGCTTTCGGCACTAACATTTTCCCGGTGTGTTTTTAAAAGGTCTGTAATTCTTTTTACATGATTCATACATTGTAATAAGTCTAAACTTTTTGACTGCAAAACATTCACAACTGGTTGCAATAATGCAGAATATTTTGCTATTAAGCAGACACTAATAAACTCGGAATTTGAAGCAGCACAATGCATTTGAAAAGCAGCTTTTCTCGTAGCTGCATTACCATCTGTTGAGAGCGTTTTTAAAGCAGCCACGATTTCTACATAATGCTCTCTAAAAATGGCGATGCTTCTGTATTTTTGAGACCAGCGGGTCTCACAGAACATCGGCACGTTTGGAACGAATTTTCGCCGAAGTGGGGATTCTCGGAAAAATCTTATTATTTCTTTTATTGTGGCCACTGTATTTCGAATCATTGCTAACTGGTTTAAATCGTTCACCACTAAATTAAGTTTGTGACTAGCACAATGAAAATACAACCCCCGCATGTACTTTTCCCGGAGAATTTTTTGTACCCCGCCGTCCTTTCCAGCCATGGTGGAACATCCATCGTACCCTTGTCCGACGCACTTTTCAGGGTCAAGGCCTGCGTTGGCTAGGAAATTATCAATGGCGGAGGCTATAGAAATAGCATCCATGGCACTTAGTTCCACGAACCCCAGAAATTCTTCTCGAATCATCATAAGTTCTTCATCAAAAAACCTCACACCAATAGAAAGTTGTTCTTTTCCAGAAATATCGCTGCTTTCATCGGCTAGTATACTGTATGCGCATGCCTTCCTGATATCCATACTGATATCCTCTCTTATTACCTCACCACAAAGGTCAATAATTTCATTCTGAATTTGTGGTGACAGGTAGGTGGCATTTTTTGGGCCATTCTCCATGTGTGTTTTCAAGTTTTGGTCACCAACTTCAATTTTAAGTTTAATCAGGTCTTGGAAAACTCCCTCGTGAAGTTCTTTGCCCCTTAAAGGCAAATCATGTGTCCCACAAAAAATGACGGTTGAAATTATTGATGCTAAAATCTTCTTATTCGCCTCTATTTCACTATTGTGAGCAGATATCAGCTGCACATCAACTGGTAAGTTCTCATCGAAACATTTTGCAGCTGTAGCTGCTGATTTATGCCATTGAGATGATGTATGCGATTTGGCAAACTCGTGCATATCTTTATAGCGGGTAAACGGCCGCACTATAAATGAGCCTAGGACACCACGCACATTAGTAGGAGGAAAAAGTACACAATAAATGCACAAGGCGCCCTTTAACTTTTTTGAGTATGCAAGCCAAGGGGCATATTCAGATAGCCAGCAGAATTTAAATTTCCTCTTCAACTGAACAGCATCCTTGGAAAAGTCATAACTGGCAGGTGGAGACCAGCAGTTTTTCAAAACTTCTCTTCTTTGAACTGAAGTCATACTAAATGAACGTCCAACCCAGTTACCAAGGTCATTTTCATAATAGGATTCATCATCATTTTGCCGGATCCTGACGGTAGTGAAGATTGACTCGGTGTATCCAAAACGACTGGGGCGCTAGAGCCGCAAGAACTGACATTTTGTTTTGACTTTTCTTCCCCGCCGCTATCACTCCCGCTCTCGCCACTACTTTTATCTGTTTGCTTCCTTTTCTGACTACCTAAAAAATATCCAAGTATACACAAAAGGTACATATTGTATGCTCAGCCTGCGCCAAATTTATTCTCATTGCTACTATCACTAGCATAAGAATATCAACACCGACTGAACGGAAAACCACAAAACATCGGAAAACGGCTAGCCGAGTAAACTCGCCATCGCCATTCATAAACAAATCACTTATTTAATGATAAGTGATATGTAATGATAACTATATTCCCTTCTTACCCTTACCTAATAATAATTAGTAAGTATTCAAATTATTGCTTGCTTACCTTTGGAGCTAAAGAATTTTCTAATGTCCATTATTAAATAAACTTTTATCCACGGCTCACTGGCAAACTGCTTGAGACAAAAAATCTTCGAGTACACCTTAACTATGTACGAATATGCGTAACACAAATAATTAGGTAAACCAAAAATAAACATTACTAACAAACAAACCAAAATCTCAAAAAAACAGTGATGCTCAATGCTCAAATACAAAACAAAGCAAGCTTTACATTTGATTTCGCGAAATAAGTTAACCTTAAAGTGTGAACTGTCAACTGGTAGTGGCAAACAATTACGAATTCAAAGTGGTCCCTCGCTAAAAACGGGTTGGGAACCGCTGATCTAAAACCTAACAATACAATGGCAAATGGCAACTTAAATGGGAGCTATTGAAACTTGTTTCTATGCAACCAGATATACACTATTTTATTATAATTTCTTGCATTTAAACTGGGAGCGTTGCTTTTTTATTCATTAATTTTAACTTTTTAGGATGCGAAAATATCTGACATACCCAGTTAAGAAGTTTAGGAAGTAAGTAGGGTAGGATCATTTGAATTAATTTTTTTTAGTTATATAATTCAATTTAATTTTTTTAATAGGGTCCGTCTAGGGGGGGGCAAGCGCCCCACCCTGCCCCACCTTGACTACGCCCATGATAGCAAATGAAACTTTGAAGAGCACCCTCAAAATAAAAAATGTGTTACAGTGATGCGCGATTGAGATTATATTCATTCTGTCTGCCATTTCTTTGTTGCTAGAAACATCCTATAATAAGTCGCACTTAAATAAATAAATGTTTATCCGCCATTACAATAATAATTTCACAATATTAACATTAATATTATCACAGCTTGTACCTTATACCAGCTACTCATCCTAATTGTATAATATTAAATTTCTACATTATTAACTAATTTTTGAAGAGATGATTTTCAAAAAATCTCAAAATTTTTAAGCTCCTAGGATGTAATTTTTTTAATTTATTTCGTTTCATTATTTTTTGTTTGCTATTTTTTTCAATATATTCTACGGACCTAAGGCCCGTATCGCCAGTCGTCCCTACGATTGTAGGGCGCGTTTATGGCCTCCTTGATTGTCATAATCCTTTCTCTCCTTCAAAAATTTCTAGGTTACACTTGTCCCGTGTCAGCGTCAGCGCTCTCCTATTGTGAAGATAAGTTTTTTTTAAATTGTAGGAAATTTCAGGCTGATAAAACATGATATAACTCAAAAGCAAGCACAATTTGATGCAAATAGATGTTTGTGACATAACCTCAAAATAGAGTTCTGACACGGAGAAGTAGAAAACTATGACAATCAAGGAGGCCATAAACGCGCCCTACAATTGTAGGGACGACTGACGATACGAGCCTAAGGGAACCCAAGAGAAGCGCCCATTCAAAAGACTCAGCATTCTGATGTGAAGCAAGTTCATGGCGGACTTTTTAAAACGCGTCAAATTATACAAACTGTGCTGACTCATAACCCGACTATTATTTGGATGAATTATTTTAATCTGATAATTTGAAAAAACAGCATGGTTAAATACTTTCTCTTAATCTGAAGTTATTTATATCACACTTCGGAACGTTCGCTAACAAACGTCGAGAGACTAGTTGTCGAACCGTCTAGTGCCACACTCAGACCTGAGTTTAATAAATGAATGTTGATTTATAAGACTTCGGAAATTTAGAAAATTTAATACAATGCGTTTGAATTTGTAGTGATAAAATGTGTTAAAATTAAATGCTAGATTACAACTTTAATTGATGTCAAAGTGAATTTATCATAAGCACATCTGATCTAATCGAAAAAACACGTTGTAGTAATATTTTTAATAAGAAGAATGCGTGCCGGTGGCAACAAAACTTTTGTGTACCCTCACGAATGTTTTTGTTAAAAAATATTACTTTGCTTTGTTTTTCGTTTTTTTTTTCACAGGAAAAAATTAGATACCCGAATGGTATTTGACAAGACTATTTCATGAGTACATACACATAGCTTACAAAATTAATTGAGAATAAAATCAGAAAAATTGTTTAGAGTCGTTTTCGGGTGTTAATAAGTTAAATAACTCCCTACTACGTTGAAAACATTCTATTGGCGTTGAGATGGACAGTTCAGTTTTACGCACTACTTTCATGCAACTTGTATATTTGAGCAGGGAAACCAGATCAATAAATAGTAGTCTGTAGTTGTCGGCGTTCCCTGGTATGACGCTAAATATATCGTAGCCCCTCATTCCATTCATCCGCTGCGTGTGGATCGTGGGATGCCCCCCTTCCCCCACCCTTACCTAACCTAAAACCAACCGTGGGATTCGTACTGGTTTATTTTTAGCGAAAAATGTGCAATAGAGAGGTGTCCTACACACAAATTGGTATCACATAACGCGTATATTTTCAGACGATTGAAAAACGATGTACCTTTCAAGATTGTACGTATTATACTTTTTATAATTTTCTCATATTCACTAATAAAAACACAGTATAGGCATGCGATATATTGCACAATTGCACTAACACTTGTAGAAGCTTGAATGCGCTGTACTATAATTACATTAATAGCTATATATCGAGATGGCGGGAAAATGAAGATGAATCATGAACACCTTTTCAAAATATGACGTTCATGACGCATATTAGGTCATGTCAGTTGCATAATTGCTATATTCTATTCAATCAGATATAACAGCTATAAAGCAAAGCTTCTGTGTACCTGATACCTATTGTATGCATGTAAAGGTGCACAATATATTTTTACATCGCTAACACGTGGATGGCCCTGGAAAAACTATAATTGTATTTCGATACGGCACGGAATCCGGTGCGAATATAGAATGGTACTCGACTATGTGGCTATACCCGCAAAATGTATTTATCCCACAGCCAAGTAATTACTCGGCCAGTTTCAAGTAAGCTATAATAGGTGTTGTGTTTCTAATCCTGACAAAAATGCTACATAAACGTAAAAAAAACTCCAGAATCGTATATCCCAGGTTTGGTATAAAACATATTGGTCCCTACATAAAAGTCATGATAAAGTTTGATCATAAAAGAAATCTTTCTGTTAGTGTACAAGGTAGTCAGCTAGGTCCATTACTATTTTTTTATGAAGGGTGTCTCAACAAGAGGGTCGGATTTGATTTTCATGAAAAACACATTTTTTTTCAAATTAGGCGAGTTTTTATATTTCAACATGAAAGATGAATAGTTGCGACTTAGGCCCGTATCGTCAGTCGTCCCTACAATTGTAGGGCGCGTTTATGGCCTTCTTGATTGTCATACTTCTTTCTCTTCTTAAAAAATTTCTAGATTACACTTGTCCCGTGTCAGCGTCAGCGCTCTCCTATTGTGAAGATATGTTTTCTTTTTAAATTGTAGGAAATTTCAGGCTGATGAAACATGATATAACTCAAAAGCAAGCATAATTTGATGCAAATAGATGTTTGTGACATAACCTCAAAATAGAGTTCTGACACGGAGAAGTAGAAAACTATGACAATCAAGGAGGCCATAAAAGCGCCCTTCAATTGTAGGGACGACTGACGATACGGGCCTAAATATTGAAGACATTTGTAATATTTTAGATTATCGTAAAATTCAGATATTTGCAGATGATACATTAATATACATAGATGAAAATATAGACACTGCTTTAAAAATGCTAGATTCTGACTTGGCAACAATCATAAATTGGTTAAATGTAAATAAACTAAAAGTGAAATTCTTAAACAAAATGTATGCTAATAGGGAAATACCTAAATCAATCACAGTTAGGAAAGTGGTGAAATAATTGAAAATGTTGAATTAATTAAATATTTAGGTTTATGTATGTGACAAAAAACAAATTGCTTTTATAGGTCTTCTCATAGTATTAGTATATATTCCAAAAAATAGTTTATAATACAATTATTCTACCGCATTTACTATATTATTCAACTATCTTGCTCACTGCCAATGAAGCTGTATTCTCAAAATTACAAGTCCTGCAAAATAATGCTATGAGAATGATATAGATTAAAAATAAGCAGCACACAAAAAAAATGTTACAAGAATTGCAGTGGTTGAATATAAAAAAATTCATATAATATTTGGTTCTTATTTTTATATTTAAAATAATAAACCATCTGTTGCGACAGTACTTAAAACACTACATAGAATTTAATAATCTTTACCAGAATTATTATACAAGAGGAAATATAGATTTTTATTTACAAAATTGCAATATTAATATAACTAGCAAATCAATATTTCAGAATATATCACTTGAATTTAATGAACTAAGTAATGATAAAGATTTTTAAACGACAATTAAAGGAACGTAATTGTAATTGTAGCAATCATAATTATGCTAAATGAATCTTAAATAAACAAACAAATAAAATGTGCTGATATCCGATAATTTGTGTGTGCGAATTTATGCTCGGTTTTTGATACGTGTGATTTAGCTTGCATAAAACGGTGGCAAAAGAGGTGCTTGAAATGCGCGATATAGATGTCCTTTTCGTTATGTTGCTTGCTTTGAAACACTACCAATGCCCTGGCATAAAATGACATTGGCTGTGAAGGTTAAGCGATACAGTATGACAAAGGTACATTATCTCTTAATGTTCAAAAGATGCACATGGCCCTCATTTGTTGCATGTTATATTTTAGTGAGTTTTGGCCGAAAATTGTCTGCATCAGAAGCGATTTTACTTTTTAAGAACCCATAAATGCGAACATGATCTTAAGCAGGTTACTCCAATCTATTGGCACTGTATATTAACTCAGTGAGAAATGTGTAAACAGTCTAAAAGGCTTTTCCGTTTAGGACAACCGTTTCGAATAAAAAAATCAAATGTTGTGAAATTGGGTCTTAAACGCGTTTTTCGATATTCATTATCTATCTCCTCCGAAGATAACGGAGATACAGACCTAGCGAATTTTGCATAGGAAAGCCCACACTTCGGACTCCAGTTTAAAAGTATATTAAACCGTTAAATATACAGAGTGACTTCGAAGTTGAGTCATTTATTTTAACAGTGAGTAGATCTGATCAAAAGAAACGTTTTTTTCCTTTACCATTTTTCTGGTAAAATTAAAGTAACAAAGTTATAGCCCTTTGGAAGTTTGAGTACCGCCCTGTCTCAATAATAATATTATGTGCTCGTGTTTGGCAACAACGGATATAATCCGCCTTATCGGTTCATCGCATCGGAAACAAAAAAGCGAAAGAATTTGGAACGATGTTTTTACAATTATTTTATTCAGTTGTATACGTATACAGTCAGTGTCAGTCGATAACGCGTGAGTGAATAGTGGTGTCTGTTGCGTGGCTCAAACGAAATAAAAAATGGCACATGTTTATGCGGATCGGTTTCCCAATCGAGTGCAACCAACCCTTCGAGCCCTTGTTAATGTAGTACAACGGGCTGGTGAATCAGGTTACTTAAGACCTCACAGGGGACGGCATGCCGGTGCTCCAAGACCTCACGATCAAATACAGGTCCGCACTGAAATACTTGTCGGGAGGATACTTTATAAAACAAGGTATTTTTTTTTTTATTTTTACACACATATTTTGGTTTATCTTCCTTCTACAATCATTATCTGAAAATTAATGACTCAACTTCAAAGTCAAAGTATAATGATATGATGGGATACAATTTTATAAAGGGTAGGAAGTCATATGAAATGAGAGTATAAACGAACGTTTTGTGAGTGATATCACCAGTATGTGATCATGTACTTCGTATTTTTGCCACTGCATCCAAGAAACTCGCGCAGTGCATATATATGATAGCGCCAAAACAGAAATAGGTACATAAATTTACCGCTGCCAAAACTGGCGTTGCACTTAAACTTCCTCGACTCTTGTTTATTTTGATTCAGTGTACCTGAAAACAAATTTCATTTGGCAATGTGGTAAGCAGATCATTTTGGTAGCCCTTAATATACACATACATTTTAAATTTGTTGTTCGTTAACTATTCTCTAGACGGTCATTCATCGTATCCATCAAAATATGCCTATTATTATCTCCAAGTATATATCTGCACTTTTGTGTCCTCCTAAAAATGTACGAGGGTTGTCTCAAAAATAGGGTTCCCACAGTTTTTCCAAGAACTTTTTATTTGAATAAACAAATTTACCATCTTTAAGCTACTTTTCTACATAGTCACGAGACATAAGGACGCGCATTGTCATGCTGCAGTCTTACGCTTTGCAGATTTTTCACATACGATGATTTTGGATTGCCCGTCTCAGCTTTTTCAGAAGCCTCAGGAATTTCAACCGCCTGTTCCCGGATCGTGATTTGCTCAATATTCGAGATAACTTCCTCGGAGATCGACGGCCCCCCGTTTCATTGTTCATCGTAGATGTCCGTGCGATCATGTTGAATGCTTATTACACGTTTCCGATATACTTCACTCAACTGGCGATGAACTTCTATGGGTGGTACCGTTTTTGCATACAAATCCCATGACCGCACGAATTTCGCACCTGACGATGACGGCGATGAAAGAATCCTTTGCGCATGGCTGCCAGGCCGGTACTGAGTGTTGAGTGAGCGTCGTCTGTAGGCACTTTATGGTGGGGTCGGTAGCAGTGTTGCCAGAGCGAAGTTTAAAATATCCGACACACGTATCGCAAAATTCCGCTACATGCCGCTACGGTCTAAAAATTTAAGGGGGGGGGAGGCTTAAAATAAACAACAAATATATTTTTTACATATTTATTTTTTTTTAAACACTGTCTACAAACCCTACTAAAAATACAAACAGTAACATAATATAATTGCAATTTTTCGTAAAAACATAAAAAGTATAGCTCTAAAAAAACAAAACTGTCTTTGGTTTAGAATTAGGAACAATTAAAAAAATAAAAACTATCACCAATATCTTAATCTTAATAGAAAAAAAAAAAACAAAAAATAAGGACAAAGAAGAAGCGGAAACGTGGAAATGCCTACGTTTGCTTATTTTATTCACAGTCAGAATCAGAAATTACTTCTTCTTCAGCTTGTTCTTCCTTATTTACATTATATAAATTCTTTTTATATTTGTTTAAATGATTCTCATTAAAACTATAGGATAAACAGCACTGTTTTTTTGATTCCAAGTCTAATTTAATTGTAAGTAGTGCAGACAAAGTTGGTGGTATTATTTTATTTCTTTTTTTTGTTTTGTAATCAAGCATATAAGAAAAAGTTCGCTCAACATCAGCGTTTCCATGAGGCAATGTTAAAATGATTAGAGCCAGTTTACCTATATTGCGAAATAAATATTCGTCATTAAAATTCCAAATTTCCTCTTTCTCACTATTACTAAAATAAATACATATTTTCTTTAGTTCCAAAATTGCCTTTTCGGTTTCAATATGAAGGGCAATTTTTTTTAAAACGGCGTCATGAAAGGTATCACTTATAATAAGACGATTTTTCATCACATCAACCGGTGAGAGAAACTTTAGCTCTGAAAAGAAGTTGTCTTTGATAGGAAATCTTTTAAGGGACTCTTCTACCGATTTTTGGTAAAATGTGACACATTTTAATTTAAATTGTTCGATTGCCGTGTTATTGCAGTGTTTTATTGCATCCATTGTATGCGGACCAACATTCACTTGTTCAATTGGTAATAAGCAGTGGGGCTCATTAGGATTTAGATTATATAATTTCTCATTTTTGAAATACTCTGGTCGCATAAAGTTTGTACATAGATGACGTACAAATCGCTCACTCTCTATTGATATGATATTGAGCATAACTTTCTCTGATTGAAAGAGAGCATTAAATTGGTTAAAAATGGGCAACACGAATTTAAAAAACATTAAATACGCCTTAACAAATGGATTCTGTAACTCATTAAGTATTACATTTGCTACAGGATTTTTGTCTTCAATGGAAGCTAATCTAAATAGGCTAAGCAAAATGTCCCACTGATCCAAAACTCTATCAACACATTTGGATAAAAATTTTTAATTTTGACTTTTTGAAATATTCCTGTAATTCTTCAAGAACACACTGCCTTTTTGGGCTTCTTGAGAAGTAAGAATATAAGTTTTGTAAAAGAGCTTCAACGTTGCTTGGAATCTTTTCAGCTGCCGCCACCGCCACTAAATGAGCAGAGTGGCAAATGCAGCCATTGACTTTTATATTAGGATTATCTTTTAAAAGATAAGTTTTGAAAGATTCGTTATTGCCCATCATAATACTAGCGTTGTCGGAACAGTATCCAACAATATTGGTAATTTTTACTTGATTGGATATAACGCATTTTTTAAAAAGAGAATATAAACCTTCATCTGCGTTTATTTTAATTATATCTAATAAATGGGTTTTAATTGAATTTTTATCAATATACCTTACAAGAATGCATAGTAGTCTTGTATTGCTCAGGTCTGTACTCTCATCCAATAAAATAGAAAATGGTTTATTTTCCAATTCTGAAGTTATTTCGTCTTTAATAACAGGAGCCAGCACATTTTTAATTATACTTATGCATTTGGATCTTTATAATTTAAGTGAGCTAGAGAGATCTGGGTCTTAAAAACATAATTGACTAACTCCTGTTATGTGATCAACAGTTCTAAAACTTATATAATGACGAGCGAGAAACCTAATATTATGTCTGCCTGCTGAGACCTGTTAGAAACGATTAGTATTGAAAGCAGTACGTACGCCATCTGTTATTGAAAAAAAAGGCAAGTGGAATAATTCTCTTCTCTGTTCCTAGATGGCTCAAGCGGCACCAAATGCACCAATTTTATTATTAAAATTAAATTTAGAACGTTATTAACGTTAAAACAGCGAAATAAATATGATAGTTTTGTATGTAATAAATTCCGCTACATTTTGGGCTAATTTGCTCTACCGCCGCTATGCCGCTCTTCTCAAAATAATCCGCTACAAATAGCGGAATTCCGCTACGTATGGCAACACTGGCGTCGCCTGTAGGCGCTTTATGGTGGGGTCGGCAGTAGGGCAGTAGGCGAACCGACAAACACGACGGTGTTGCCAGATTTCGTCTAGCATCACGCGCGGCAAAGTTGCAACTTTCTGGTGAGACAACCCTCGTACATATAAAATTTATAAGACTGGGCAACTCAAATGAATGTGTTGTTTCATATTTTGGAAAATGTATTAGTGTTTAGAAAGCTATTGCCATGCGGGGACTTGGATAAAAAAACAAATTGGAGTAAGGTTTACCAATCGACATCTGGATCAATTTTCAAAGGATTTTGTGTAGCAATTTATAATTAAGGGTAGTACTTACACTACGATCTTAAACAGCAAAGTTGATGAAATCGTCTGAAAATGTTTATGGTATTGTTTTTGTGGGATGCAAAAGCAATAATTTTGGGTTAGGTTATCTGTAGATCAGTGAATTTGCAGTTAAACATGAAATTACTGCAATATTTTCTTGATAAGCTGGCTGTAAAAAATTGAGTAAAAATATCAAGTTTACAGAAGAAACTCATATTTCATCGTGACATTGCATCTGCTCAGAGAAGCGCTTTAAGAATTATGAAAATTACTCAATTGCTTGAAATCCCATCCTATTATTCAGATTTAGTACCGTGTGATTCATTTGTTTCCATGCCTTAAGAAGTTTCTATGTCAAATTAAAAATACGGGCATTTTAATGTGCTCCAGAAAATGTAAAGGGGGTTATGTTAAAAGAATAAACGTATTTTCAGATACCAACTAGTATTTTTTTATGTAGACTCCAGAAACTTTATGGCCTAGTGCTTGGCGTTTGTGCATTTTATCATCATTCATACGTCTGCTGCACCAGTGCTTCTGAGCGCGAAGGTTATTATGACAATTGAAGAGCGGAGGGAAAAATTTTTTCCATTGCATCGCCTCCCAATTTCCTTTGGGCTCTCTAGCTAATTTACAAACTCGCGATGTTTTTTTCAAAATCTTCACATGAAAAATGACAACCTATGTTTGATAAATAATAACATGTATTTCAGTATATTGTTGCAATGGCAACCTAGAATTCTTGAAATAAACTTTTCTTGCCATTTCTGTTACTATAAATATTATTTTGCTTCCAGCACTAGTTCCTTCAATAGAGGCGCAGGCTATGTCTATGAACTAGACGAAATAGAGCCTAAACTATATTTATCAGGGGCAGATGAAGCAAGTAGTGTAGAAACTCTCAAAAAGTACAAAATTACACATATCCTTACAATCAATGACTATCCTTTAACCCCATCTGTGAAAGAAGAACTCGGTTACATCAATAAGAAGTTCATATGTCTTCCAGGTAGGTGGTAGGTCGTTGACAGTTATCATCTATAACAACTTGGGAAACGAATATCACAAGTGATACGTGATCCAAGAACTGCTTTCCAGTGACCTTAGTAACTCGGAGTAACTTCAGCGTCAATACTGTTCCACTGCACGTTCTATTCTCATTCATTGTTTCTGCAGAAGTTCAGGGGCGTATAACTCTCACACCAAAAACCACTGGAAAGCAGCTGAGATCAGTAATGTCACTGAATATCATTGGTGAAATCGAATTTATCTTGGAGTCTAATACTGGTACTGGTTTGATTCTATTCCGTCCATTTGGCAACCATGTACGGCACCCGTCGCTATCTCGGGATATTACCGCGGCATAAGTCATCATAGTTTACCATTATACTTGTATGCATACACTGAAAACCAAATACCACTGACATCGTAATGTGTACAAGAGAAAAGCGCGCTACACGTGTGTTAGAAAGAGATAGAAGCACCTCGTTGCCTAGCAACCCGAGATCAGGGATGCCATCGGCGCACTCTTTCTAACATACATATTGGTCGCTTCTCTTTCGTACACATTACGACGTCAGCCAAATGTGAACCTCACCGTATGCTGCTGTTTCAACTTGATGGTTTTTAGATATGGTCACTTCAGATTTGCTGTCGTATTTCGACGAGTGCTACGAATTTATAAGGGAAGGCGTCTCCAGAGGAGCAGTACTTGTCCATTGTCAGATGGGCGTATCTAGAAGTGCAACAATTGTCATTGCCTACTTGATGAAAAAATACCGAATCAAATACAGAGAGGCTTTGGATAAAGTTAGGGCAAGGAGGTAATCTAATGTTATTATGTGAAACATTTTTCTAACGATATACATTGAAATATCACACTATACTCTGCGGATATTCTCCAGAATCTCATATTTCGCGCAGGAAAGGCGGACGGTGCGACACTGTCGAGTATATATGACCTACAGTTGGGTATCTTCTTGGAGAATACGTTACTGGGTGATTAAACGCAAGACTTTTTTAGCGTTCGTTTAGGATATGACTCGGATATTAAAATTGCAGATAGTGTAGCATAACACATGGTACGCCACTGCTACGGCAAAGTTACCAGTGGTGTACAAAGTGTGATGTTCCATTTTGGTACAATATGATACATTTTTTTCAAATAAAACATTTCTATTTTTATAATTGCAGATGTGTTTATCCAAATCCAGGGTTCGTCAGTCAGCTGGAGAAATATAATGAGATGGGGTATAACACTATGAATCGATTTGCGCCCAGAAGCAGAAGTAGCAGCTATTATAGATAAATTACACAGCCAATGATATTTTCTGGAAAATACATATATGTACCTGTTTCCTACACCGTTGACTTGTTAAAGAATATTTTTCTATTGGATCAACGAGTGGCCTCTCTAGGTGACCATCATGCGTCTAAAATTCTTGGGTATATTTATGATCAGTGTATAGAAATACATGAAAATGAGTTTAACTAGTATCAAGTAACTGTACATAGAAGGGTTATCGAAACTTCTCGCGACTTAAGTAATCAATGTAATGCCACTCTGCTGAATGCATATCTCGCGCGTTTTCGATGTGCCACCTCCGTACATTTACATATATCCACGATTAATAGATGTGCACTCATCTACGCAACGTCATATACACTGAAAACCAAATATAGTCAAAATCACGAAAGATGACTATTACGTCATACCATAAATTGTACTGAAGTAATCAATTAATGGACGTACGTCGATGAAAATCACGATATCAGGAACATAATGACAACAAATTTATATTATGATTTTGCGAAGTGAGGTTATTTCACTGATTATTTTTATTTTCATTTTATTTCATGGTTTTGAGTGATACCATAATAATAATTTTAGTGGGGAGTTTTTGTTTTGAAAAAAACAGTTATGAGTAGAATACCTTAAGACAGGAACACCAAAGACTAAGTATTATTCGGAAACAGTCTAACCTGCTTTAACATAACCTAACTATTCATCTTTCAAGTATGATCGATCATGCAACATGAAAACATCGTTTAGCTTAAAATTAAAATTCTGTTTGTCTCTGTCTACCATATCTGAAACTTCATTAAAAATATTCACAAATCACTGTCGTTTGTCTTTACTACAGACTAAAATGATGACGTAATCGTCATCTTTCGTGATTTCGACCATACCACCGACGTTGGAATATGCACGAGAGACCAGCGCGAGAAGCGTGCGCTACGTGTGTTAGACAGAGATAGAAGCACGTCATTGCCTAACAACCCGACGGACGAGTCTAATATACATATTCGACGCTTTTCGCGCTTCTCGTACGCATTTTGACGTCCGACAAATTTGACCCTCATCGTATAAATTCAAAATTACTTAGATTTCTTTTACTACTCTCGGTACTTTTCCGCAGTTTTAACGTTCTTTAAACTAATTCATATACTGAACACATATATGTAGCTATATTTTTACATTGTACCATTTTGGAGGTAAGTTATTCAGGTCGGTATCGCCAGTCGTTTCTAAAATTGTATGGCGCCTTTATGGCCTTGATTTTCATAGTTCTTCCTGCGCTCTATTTAGAGGTTATGTTACAAATATCTATTTGCATTAGAAATCTAGAAATATCTCAGCCTGTCTGAAGGAGAGAAAAGACTATTAAAATCAAGGAGAGCATAAAGGCGTCCTACAATTATTGTAGGAACGCCTGCCGAATTTCGCAATAGATGTAACAGATCGGTTCGTGATTGGTAAAACATTATCTTTGTTTAAACTTTTGTTGAACTGACATACGTCTTTCGACAGTTCAGTATCGTCCAGCTTGTTTATTTTGTATGTGTATAGTGGTTTCCATCTGCAAAAAGGTGAAATTTATTTATTTAAAACGTAAACTTACATGTTTCATGTTTCATCTAAGGAATAATATAAGAGGCATATTTTTGAATACCCACAAAAATCGTTTTTTATTTAGATACAGCGTACATGCATCCAGATTATCCTTATTTTTCCTCCCGTTGATCAGCTATAAACGTGGATGTAGATATTATGGTATCATCATCCCACAGCTAGAGTATGCAAATAAAAGGAATGCGCATTGGCGTACTTAGGGGGCACGGGGGAAATCAAAGGCAATTCTAAAATAAAGTAAAACACTAAGTCGCATCAAAATATTAAATTAAATGATCAAACAGACCTCCTTCTTGGAATTGACAGTAACCTGTAACATGCCTTGACATGCGGAAAAATTTAGAGAATTGAAAGTTATCATAGCCACAAAGCCATAGTTCCATCATTAAAAAAATCTGAAGAAAACATTTCTCCCATGAATATTATGAAAGGTTTCTTATTTAAACTTTCCATATACAGTTGTAGACGAAAAAGCACCGATTATTAAGTGATAATAAAAATAATCAGAGATTTTATACGCGCTTTTCTAAAATAAACAACTTGCAACAAAACCGCGGTTAAAACCAACGCGTTCAAGCGATTCGTGTAACTGACGTCATCAACCCGTGTGTCATCTTGAACCATATTATAACCGCGACACATAACACAGAAATTTTGGTTATTCGCTTGGATTTGATTATTTACAAACGCACCCCTGGATGTTGACATGTGGTTGTCATTCCTGTCACCGGTCTGTGTGTGTACTGTGTATTCAAAAATTAAAATAATCATAAGTTGGTGGGTGCCTCACGTTTTGCCGGTGTTTTATTTGTGGACGTATCCAAATTTACTAAGTGATTCTGGATCAGATTGCGTTAATAGCGATGCGACCATTATACAATAAGACTTATACCATTTTAAGAAGTACTGTGACCCGTGCTAATCTACAAAAGAAGTTTTCTGGGCGGTCAGTCACAGGCGAACGCACCAGGTTATTAAACGAGACAACTTTAACCGGGCGACTCCTTTATTATCTGAACGATAAGAAAAATGAACAAGGAGATCAGGAAAACATAAATGCCAATAAGTTGCTGGGTAAGATGAAAAAACAGGCATTTGTAGACCTTGGCCAATATGATATCAAACAAATCAACTGCATTTTTAATATGTTGAGAGACAGGCACTTTTTGAATAACAAGTTCCAAACACTGAAATTGTTGCAGAATTTGGATCACGAATATATGCATAGACTGAATGAAATGGATCCAGAACAAATATTTGATGTGCTTAATAGTTACATGGCTGCGATACCAAATAGAATCATACAGTATATATTCTACAAGGAATCTATGAATAAACTCCTCGGGATCAAAGAGACATTGAACAAAGAACAAATAATCAAATTGATTTTTTTCATCGGGCTAAATAAGAAACATGTAAAGGTTCATGATATCTTAAGAAGCCTTTTAAATCTTCTAGGAGAAAAAGATATACAAACTCTTTCTGTTGAAGACATTTGCATAATATGCCAAGCAACATTCAAGACAGGCACAAAAGTTTACAATAAGGTTTTCCTCGACAAAATTGTCCAGTATTTGAATGATAACTTATTTTTACTGAAAGACCCAGCGTTATTTATTGCTTTGATCAAAACTGTTCGTCAGAATCGATGTCAAACTGAGGATCTGTTAGCTACGATATCATGCACCATGTTTTTTAATAAAACATTGCAGTATTACTCATTCGCGGCATTGTCACACATCTTAGCTGTGTACTCCGATTACCTGTATTATGATGAAAACCTGTTAGATGCTATTACAGAGAAGTCAATCAGAATTCTGAAAGAATATCATTTCACATCGAGACACAAATACTTCCTGGAGAATCCCAGGATAAAGGATATTAAAACACTGTTGTGGAGTTTAAGTAATTTGAACTATAAGGGCTTGCAAGCAGATGATATTAAAGATGTGATAATTCCAATTATAATGAAGCGATATGCAGCAGGTGAATGTAGAGATGATAATATGAGTCTACTGGAAATAATTTCACATCTATGGATGCTGAATTACCATGCATACGAACTCATTGATATTGTTTTAACAAAAGAAAATGTGCAAAAAATCAGAGGTAAGTAATTCTGACCATACAGGAACTATGTATAATTCTTTTCACAATTTTGGGTGGGTAGCAGTAAAACTGCATGGATTATTTTCTTGGCCTCTATGCAAGGACGTTTGACAGTCATAGATTTTTTAGTTTTATCACACACCCTTTAAAACTTTCTCATCAACATAAGAGTACCAAGAGACTTCCACATTTTTGTTTATCACTGCAATTGATACTTGTTTGTCATGTGCGTGTGATTTGAGTTTACTTTTAGTTCATCTTAGATATAAAGATAGCAATAACGTATTTTCAGAGAGTGAATGAAAACAATGGTCCTCTGTCACGCGAGTGAGCAGCAGCTCTGCATTAAGGATCCGCTTGCACTGTGTACCTTTAGTAAATCTCTTTCCTTATTTTGTATGATATTGTGGAGTAACCACCAAAAACTATAAATAGACCTATACAATATTTTATGAAAACAAAATCTCTAGAATCAATACAAACTTCAAATTTATCAGATAACGATTTATGACTAATCCCATTTTTTTCAGCCACAATTATGGTTAATAATTTTCATGCTTTATCCTTATCTGATTTATTGTAGTTACTGTCAAGGTTTATTACCAGTAAAATTTGATAAATATTTTCACCTTGTTATCTCAATTTTATACTACAATGCTTTGTATATATATATTTGAATTTCCTGAAATATGGAGATTGCATACTTATACAAGGTTTGTCGCAAAGTAAACAAGAAAAAAATCAACAGACCATTTTAGGTTTGGAAAATCGAATTTATTTTATCCAAAATAGTCTCCTTCAGAGTCAATATAGCGATTTTTGACCGGGATGTCCTTCAAAATGATCGTCGACGCCTCTACGTCGGCGTACCGCCGTCCCTTCGTGGCTAAATGTAGTTTACCGAACATAAAATAGTCACACGGTGCCATATCAGGAGAATACGGAGAGTGGCTGAGAGAGGGTTAACATGCCATTTCTGTCAAAAAAATCGGGTACAAGAGTCGATCGATGAGATGGTGTATTGTCGTGTAACAACCTTTTTCGCGATATTCTGGCTGAATATGCGACAGCAAACGCCTCATAACATCAAGATAAAACACAGAATTAACCGTTTGGCCCGGTGGAACGAATTCTTTGTGAATAATTCTGTTCCAATCGTAGAAACAAATCAACATTGTCTTCACTTTAGACTTTTTTCGGATTTTTCTCGCTTGGGTGCTTCCATTCGGTACTCAGTCGCTTGGTTCCGGGATCGTATTGAAAACACCACGTTTCGTCTTCGATCACAATGTTGTACAGAAAGGTTTTGTTTTTTTTAGCCTTTTTAATGACGTCTCTCAAATGTTGAATTCAAAGAATTTTTTGGTCATCCGTGAGCTTGGGCGGAACAAACCGTGAACACAACTTTCTCATGCCCAAATTCTTGGTCAAAATGCTATCGACTGAATCTTTATAGAGATATTTAATTCCATTTGTATCTCAATGAAGATTTTGGATCATTTTTGATAAATTCACAGACTTTTCGGTTTCTGGCGTGATCACTAATTTTGGCTGGCCTACGTTCGTCATCTTCCAGCGACTCACAACAATCTCTGCACTGTGTAAACCACTCGAGATAAACAATCATCCATCCACTTGCATCAACATCTGACTCAATATATGACTTGTATTGGATATATTTCAAAAGTCCCGTTTACTCTACGAAGACCTTGTAATCTGTATTAATCGAATAATTTAAATTGTAGCTTAAAAATGTAAAATCTGTTTAAATGTCGAGGTTATCGTAAAAATATTCTTTTTCAGCTACTTCCCTCCAAAATAAACACAAACTCAACCAGCTGCTATCCTGTATATTTTTCGAAGATCGACCGCTTTTCCAAAAATTAAATATCCATCCTCAATGTGAAGATTATGAACAAAAATTTCAATTGGAAAAGAGACCATTACTGACAAAAGTAATGAAAAATCTGGAAAGTGCCTCATGTAGTAACGAGATAACCAAATTTGAGTTAGGTTGTCAGATCCCAGGACTGAATATTTTGGGTATAACTGGTTATAAGAAAAATATCTATAAGGCTGTGAATATTGAGGTGTTGGATGAGTATACTGTTTTGAAAAATACTGAAGACAAACCTACTGGACCAATGCAGCTAAAGCTTAGACTTTTGAATGGCGCAGAGGAAGGTTTGATAGTGGTAAGTCATAGTTTGTGCATCATTAATACTGTTAGTAAAGTTTATGGGGCAAAATAAGTTGTGTTGGTTGATAAATGAAAGTTATGACTGAATAAGTATCACTAAATTTCTGAAGCATGTGCACACAAATAATGTTGTTTTGTTGGTGTTATTCTATGGGGTTGTCCAATAGGGACGCAGAAAAGTAAACGCATATTAAAACAAGAAAGATTGATATTCAAATCAAGTTGGGTACTTTATTTTGAAGGTTCATTTATACCATTTATGTAAGAAAAATAATATCGCTCAAATGTTCACCAAGATTGGATTTACAGACGTCCACGCGATGGTCGAACTTTTCAATGACATTTTGCAACATGGTCGGTTCTATGGCATTTATCTCGGCAATGATGTTGTTTTTGAGTTCTTGGAGGGTGGCTGGTTTGTCGACGTATACTTTGCTTTTCAAATATCCCCATAAAAAGAAGTCCAAGGGAGTCAAATCGCACGATCTTGGTGGCCATGGCACATTTCCTCTGCGCGAAATCACGCGATCACCGAAGAAGGACTGCATCGATGGATATTGACGTTGGTTGTGTGGCATGTTGCACCGTCTTGTTGGAAATAAACATCGTCCATATCCATTCCTTCAAGTTGTGGCAAAAAATAGTCCTCTATCATCACGTGATATCGCTCAGAATTGACGGTAACGGCGTCCCCGGCCGCATTTTCGAAAAAGTAAGGTCCGATGATGCCTTTTGACCAC